TGAATGAACCGGGGGGAATATATTCACCAGTGTGCATTCAAAGAAAAAAAATGTATAGAAAAATAAAACAGAATTGTGAGAAACTGGAGCCTATTTTGCACAAGAACACTTGTGCATTGCATTCACAGAAATAAGGCTACTATTCTTTGAACTTGTGCACTGATGTGCTGATTGTCAGGCTGAATCACATTCCTTCCACATTAAAAGATTATACATTTCAGATTAGACTATTATAAATTAGCACAGCTATTCACAACCCTTGATTTTAATAGGAGGGCCTTAAATGTAAATAACCTAATTGCATAAGACTCAAAACTCAAAAGAGCTTTTTTCTGGCTACCAGTTGGAGTACACATACTAGGTTAGATAACCAATGGCCCAGTTCAGTATAAGTGCATGTATCAGACAAAGACGCCCCAAATCTGCTCTCTCTCTCTCTGTGTGTGTTTTTTAAAAAGGCACGTCAGGAGGGTGCTGTTGACAAAGAAGATTTCTCAGCTCTGCCAGTTGTTTTTTCTTTTTAAAGGTGGGTTTAGGGGGGTTCCAACAAGCATATTTGCATTGAACTGAAGGCAGCTTTGCCTTTCTTCAAAATGCTGAATGTTAATTGATGAGGCATTTACCTTAATGTTCATTATTTTGAATATTATTAAAACCTCGATAGAGGGTTCAATTTGACAAGGGATACATGAAAATTCGATGTTTTGTTTCTTTTAGTTTTTTGTTTCTATTTGTTGTGTTTTCCTCCCACCAATTTTATTTTCTAGTTTGTCAATTTCAGTCACTTCTTTTACATCACTTTAATGTCATTTATATGCAAAACCAGACATCAAATTTAATTCCAATTTTACCATCAAGTTTTTCATTATTTTGGGTTGGGAAAGATGACTGCAAATTTGACCAAATGAAGACTTTTGAATGAAATTTTTGAATGAAAACAAAGTGGTCATAAAATTCAGTAGCATCCCTCATTTTAAGCTATTGAAGAAAGCAAAAGATAATTTACAATTTTACAAACAAAAACTCCCAGTCTTCCTAGAAAGGGATCCCATATTTTCTCATTGCCTATAACTGTACCTCACAAGAAGCAAAGTAGCTTCAGACTGTGCCCTTAGCCTGTAGCCTCTCCAATTAAAATTGCTCTTCACTAATTAATCAGCTAAATAGATTAATCTGCCATGTGAACTGATTGTAGACTACAATCCTAATGTCTTGTAGCCATCAAGCCATCATTTGATGCAAGCAATAATCTCAATTAGAATATAGTGCATTTTCAAGATTTGCAACGTTCTCAGAAATTCTGACCTTCTCCATCTGGTAATCAATGGCAAACTTGCCACTGTCTTTAAGGGACCAGGATATGACTCTTCTAAATTTGGCAGGAAATATCTGTATATTGACTCACGTTTATCTTTAATGGGACCCAATCTTGCATTCCACATACATTAAATTTTGACCATCTGCTGCTCTTTATTTCAACATGTCTATAAACCATGTGAAGAGAATGCAAAATCAGTTCCTGGACTTTACCAGTCCATAGCTATCTCTGCCCCTTAGTCATTTGCTCACTTATTTCATCCAGTCCAAGTTAGCACACTCTTATTGGGTGCATAGCGGTATTATCACATGCATTCCTTTGTGCTGCTCTTCTCATCCCCACAATGAATTCTTTGCCATGCTTATGTCACTGACAACCCCCCCCCCCAAAAAAAATGATGGGTTTGGAAAAAACACCATTTGGAATATTTAAACCAACTTTGCAGCACAGAAGGGGGTCAATTCATGTTCTTGTAGAGAAAAGCCAGGGTTTCCCAGACTTCAGATAGGGACCTGAGTCCAGAAATCATCCACTGTCCCAGTATCCTCGTTATTCTAATTTATCTTATTTATACCCCACTTTTCTCCCCGACGGGGACCCAAGGCGGCTTACGACAGCCTTCTCTTCTCCACTGAACAGGAATAACAACCCTCTAAGGTAGATGAGGCCAAGATAGAGTGACTGGCCCAAGGTCACCCAGTGAGCTTCCAGAGCAAGGTCCACATTCGAACCTGGTTCTCCCAGAGCCTAGTTCTGTATGCTAACCCCCCCCCCCCGCTGGCTCCCACATGGCACTGAGCACCAAAGTTCAAGAGCAACAGAAGGGAAATCTTGGTTCCAGTGACCAGCCTCTTCCATGTTCTCTCTCCCCATTCTAGAGCCAGTGCACACAAACCAGTATTTCTGACAGACACTGGGAAAGAAGGGGGTGGAGCAAGTTAGGCTCCCCTGTGGCATGATGGGCCCAAGACATTTTGCCACCTGAAGCTATCACAGTGAGCACTTTACGAGACATGCCCCAAGTTCTTTTTCTGGTGTTTGCGGTCTATTCTTATCAGGGGTCATTTCGTAGAAAAAGAGGTGCAGGAGCTCATTAGCATAACTCATTTATTTGCATATGCCACACCCCCTGACATCACCGGAAGTGTGTCAGAAGGCAACACCCACCGCTCAGGCTCCACTGGACTGTTTTGGATTGCTAGCTATTTTTTTGGGGGGGGGGACGTGCAGATCTGTCCTCGCAGAAGAGGGAGAGCTTGTACCTGAATAAAACTTTGTCTTAAAGGTGCCACTAGATTGTTTTGGGCCGGGGGGAGCTCTGCAACTTACCTGGCTGCTTCTTACTCTGACTGAGGGCTGCTGGGAGCAGGGAGTGGGGCTTGTTGCATGTGCCCGCCCCCTGGACTCTTTACTGCCGGAGCTCCGCTCCTGTGCGCTCCTGCAGGAAATGACCGCTGATTCTTATTATTTTACTATCATTGTGGTTGACAGGTACATTTTTATTGGATCTTTGTATCTGTGATTTTAAACTCATGCTTTTGTTTCATTTTCATAGACTCATACAGTTGGAAGGGACCTCCAAGGTCATCTAGTCCAACCCCCTGCACAATGCAGGAAATTCACAAATACCTCCCCCTCCACACCCCCAGTGACCCCTGTTCCAATACCCAGAAGATTATAAAAAACCTCCAGGCTCCCTGGCCAAACTGGCCTGGAGAAAAATTGCTTCCCAAAGTGGCCATCAGCATTTCCCTTGGCGTGTAAGAAAAGGCCACAAGAACTAAGCACGGGTGCAGCCCTTCCTGTCCTCCCCCTCATGATCTGCCTAAGTTCACACAATCAGCATTGCTGTCAGATGGCCACCTAGCCTCTGCTTGAAAACCTCAAAAGAAGAAGAAGAGGAGGAGGAGGAGGAAGGGGAGGAGGAGGGGGGAGGTCTTGACAGAAACGGCTCTTTTTCAAGAACAGCTGTGCCAGAACCAGGGCTTTTTTTTGTAGAAAAAGCCCAGCAGGAACTCGTTAGCATAATAGGCCACACCCAAGAGCAGAAAGTCATTAGCATATTAGGCCACACCCCCATGCCTTCCCTTGGCTTGCCCAGGTGACCCGCAGCTGTGGGGTGCCCGGGCAAGCCAGCCGTTGGACAGGCTGGGGAAGGCACAGGGAGGCATTTAAATACCTCCCCGATCCTTCCAGGGGGCCCCTGGCCTGCCCGCCTTGGAGTCGCTGGGGGGGTCGCTCTCCAGGCCTTCCATCTGTAGCCACACATGCAGAGGTTTTGGCTGTAGTGGGCGTGGCCAACTCTGAAGCCAGCTGGAACTCTGTTCCTGTGTGTTCCTGCCGAAAAATAGCCCTGGCCAGAACTATGGCTTGCCCAAGGTCATCCAGCAGGTGCAAGTGGAGGAGTGGGGAATCAAACCCGGTTCTCCCAGAGTAGAGTCCACACATTTAACCACTACACCAAACTGGAGAGCCCACCACCTCCCAAGGAAGCCTGTTCCACTGAGGAACCACTCTGTCAGAAAGTTCTTCCTAATATTTAGCTGAAAACTCTTCTGATTTAATTTCAACCTGTTGGTTCTGGTCCAACCTTCTGGAGCAACAGAACAGAACTCTGTACCATCCTCTATATGACATTTTGATGTCTTTTCCCAGGAGTCATTTCGTAGAAAAAGAGGTGCAGGAGCTCATTAGCATAACTTATTTGCATATGCAACACCCCCTGACATCACCAGAAGTGTGTCAGAAGGCAACACCCACTGCTCAGGCTCCACTGGACTGTTCTGGATTGCTAGCTATGGGGGGGGGGATGTGCAGATCTATCCTCGCAGAGGAGGGAGAGATTGTACCTGAATACAACTTGGTCTTAAAGGTGCCACTGGACTCTTTTGGACCGGGGGCGGCGGCGGGGGGCTCTGCAACTTACCTGGCTACTTCTTGCTCTAACTGAGGGCTGCTGGGAGCAGGGGGCGGGGCTTGTTGCATGTGCCCGCCCCCTGGGCTCTTTACTGCCGGAGCTCCGCTTCTGTGCGCTCCTGCAGGAAATGAACCCTGTTTTTCACCATGTCCTATGGGAGAGAAGCCAGTGCTTAAGAGTGGTGGACTCTAATCTGGAGAAACTCCACTCTTCTCTACATGAAACCAGCTGGGTGACCTTGGGTCAGTCACAGTTCTCTCAGAGGTCTCTCAGCCCCACCTATCTCACAGGGTGTTTGTTGTGGGGAAAGGAAGGGAAGGCGACTGTAAGCTGCTCTGAGACACTGAGTGAAGAGCGGGGTACAAATCCTACTCTTCTTCTCACCCTGAGTACAACAAGACACTCCCACTAAGGGCAGGGAGGGAGCCCAGTTTTCTGAGCCCAACTCACAACTGCTGCACTAACCTTGCATTTGTGGTTTAGCACAAAAGCTCTGAATCAGCTGCTTTGGAAGCTCTTGTGCAGACAAGGCTGGCTTTAGTTGTAAGACACCAAGTGAGCTGGTTGAAATATAGCCTATTTCCTTCCTATGTTTGATGACAGAGTTGAATGACACCACGTTGTGACGACTGCATAAGAGAGTTCAAAGAAGTCTCCAATGAATGAGAGGCGGCAATCACTCCAGAGCCACAACTGTCATACACTGAAGATCTGACTACAAAGGAGCAGAACGATTTTTGAAAATAAAACCTAACATCCGCAAATATGAATAATTCTCCAAATGTATTTTCGGACCCGAGTCCGAATAGATTTCAGGTCAATGTCATTAATGAGAGCCATGACAGTACAGTATCCTCAACGGGAGATCCCAGCCCTCAGTGTTACGAAGAAACATCTTTTGCTGACGAGGCAAATAACAGACTACGAGTTAGCTACAGACCTGGGAACCGAGAGCTGTACGATAATTTATTTCAAAATGGGGATATGGCTAAAACAGATGGAAGCTTTCATCCCTATGATACACATAGTGACACATACTATCTGAAAACCTTTGGGCACAATACAGTGGATGCCATACCTAAAATTGATTATTACCGAAACACTGGCAGCATCAGTGGCGCCAAAATGACTAGGCCAAGCCTGATGGACATTCATGAACAGTTAGCAAAGGTATGTCAGAAATATTAAAAGACAAATATACTATTGGCTGTTTATTTGTAACATAATGCCCTCAATCCAAAAGGAGTCAAGTGTGCTTATAATACTCCAGACGTGCAGATGAATTCAGAAGTAAATCCTCCTATGTTAAAAATGGTTGTTTATATTCTGGGAGCAAAAAATAATGTACATTTGTACAATACAAATTGCGGCACCAGAAAAAGTTACATTTGACATCATGTTGGTGCCAATTAGATATTTTTATAGTTTCACTTGTTTTTGCGTAATTGATTCTGCCATGTTCACTATTTTGCATAATCTATTCTGGTTTCATTAGTTGTGGAGAGTGGGAAGGAACTACTTAGGTCACTGCAACGGCCTCCCACTGGAGATTTTGTTCAGCTCCTACTTCAGCAGCTGAATATCAGCAGGCATTGCCTGCCCTTCACACACTAGAAATTTGTCTTTAAAATAGGAAAGAAACCCCAGATCCTTAGATCTGTGTCCAGTGCCACATTCTGCAGCTAGGGGCATGCATTCGGCTATACCCTAGCCAAAACAAATAGCAAAAAAATAGCATATTGGTATTTTTCGGCTATTCTGTCAGCCAAATATTTGTTTGAGTATCTTTACAGCTATCTGAAATAGCTAAGCCCCCCAAAAAATGCCAACAATATTCAGGGTTTTTTGGGGACCACCAGATAGCTGAAGTTAAAAGGTGTTAAGGTCCATTTAAATGCCTTCCAGGTGAACTCACAATCCCTTTAAAAGCCTTTTTATTTCTCAGTTGAAAACAATGGAGGATGGTGGCACCTTCTTTGGGGGCCCATAGAATTGAACCCCCTGGTCCAATCTTTTTGAAACTTGGGGGGGGGGGTTGAGAAGAAGCACCAGCAGCTATACTGAAAATTTGGTGACTCTACCTCAAAAAACAGACACTCCCCCCGACCCCTGGATACCCCCTGGATGGATTCCCCATTGTACTTTATGGGGACCATTGACTATAATAGTCCCCATAGGGTATAATGGAGCCAGGAAAAATTGAGATTTCCCAAAAAATCCTAATCTGAATACCATACTAGCATTGGGATTCAGGAAAATCAGAAAATACTGATATTTTTTGGGTTCAATATACCCAAACCCCCAAAATACAATTATTTGGCACACCCCTATCGACAACGTTTCTGCACTCCCAGCAGATGCACAGGCCTTCTTCCCCTTTAGTATGGTGAAAGTCAACAACACAGGATATATTGCAGTGCTTTCTAAATATTTATTGTCTAGAACATAGCAGTTACTTCAGTGGACAAATTCACCAAAGCAGATGGCACTACAGGAGGAGAAGCAGCACCCAAGAAAGAAGAAGAAACCCAAGGAGGCTTTGTGAAATTTGGCTGGGTGAAGGGTGTCCTGGTAAGCAGAACATATCTAGTGTTACAATTCAATTCTGCTGTCTTTATTTAAAAAAAAATTCACAATGCACATTTTTAGGAGGGGGGAAACATGCACTTGCTTCCGCTAGAGAACACAACATGATTAGCATATCAACTTTTCATGCTTTGTGATGCATATGCATAGGGTGGTTTGGATTAGGACCAGTATATTGCTTGAAAGTTGTATCTTGTTTTTAATTCCATTTTCAAACGTTATTTTTTTAAAAAAATTCCATTTTGGAAATGTTATTCTAGCTCCTTCACTCTTATTTTTAGATATTATTCAACACTGTTCACTGACTATTATTTTATAGTGCCATGGCCTGTTGGCTGTGTAATAATTTTTATCTGATCTGATAATAAACCAGCCAATTTTGCCTCTTAATTACTAACACTGCTTGCATTCTGCAATGACATGGTAACACGACTCTTTGTTCACCATTTAGGTGAGGTGCATGCTGAATATCTGGGGTGTGATGCTTTTCATTCGCCTGTCCTGGATTATAGGTCAAGCTGGAATAGGTATGCATTTTTAAGTGCTTTTTTTTTTTTACGCCATGCAGGAAAAACAGGAGAAACTTTACAGAAACACTATTAATCTTTAAACTGAAGTGTGTATTGGCGTGGAACATGCATTCAGGCTTTCTAGAATATATTCCATTGTATCCAAAGGCAAAGTTAACAAAACCAACACTGGAATTTTCCAGGCTGTTAAACAAACAGCCCAGATCTAGCACACATCCATGCCAGTTTCTTTGCCACTGAAATCAATGGGATTTAAGCACGTCTAACTGTGCTGGATACAGCCTTTGCACAAAATATTTATATGCAAAAGTCAGGCATTTGGAAGAAATTTCTATATTCTAAAAACTAGCTAATATTGGAACAATAAAATCTGGTTGTTCTCTGAAAGTACAGTGTTTTAAAACCATTGGTGTGCACAATCATTTCATGCTATATATTTGTGATGAAAGGAAAATCAACACATACAAGTGGAATTACAAACTATTAAAGCATTTGGCTGCCCCAGCACCAACACCTAACAGCACGCACTCAAGGAAACTGATCTGCCCTAACCAATCCTTTCCGCATTTGCCTGCCACTACAGTTTTTCTCAGTGTTCGAGTCGAGGCAGTTTAAGTCCACAGCAAAACAGCATCCAAATAACCCGGGGCAACGGCAGGCTGAAACCTGGCTGACCACTGAAGGGAGGTAACATAATGCAGAACGGGGGTGGAAAACAGGAATAAAAAGGAGGTTTAACGCTATTTTAGTGCAGAATGTGAAAAAAAGCCTGGATTAAAAAGAAGGCTGGATTTGATTTTAGTGCAGAATTGCTTGGAGGACACCACGGTGAACATGGATGAAAAGGACAGGGCGGAAAGGGCCTAAGTAAGAATTATTCAATGGTGGAAAGTACCATCAAGTCATGGCCAAAGTACATCCAGTAGGTCTGTCAAGGAAACAGATGAACAGAGGTGGTTTATTATTTATTTATTTATCTAAATGTGTGCCCCACCGTCCCCGCCATTGCCTGCCTCTATGTTAGGGTTGCCAGCCTCCAGGTGGGGCCTGGGGATCTCCCGCTTTTACAACTGATTTCCAGCTGACAGAGATCAGCTCCCCTGGAGAAAACGGCTTCTTTGAAGGGTGGCCTCTATGGCGTTGTACCATGCTGAGGCCCCTCCCCTCTCCAAAAACCGCCCTCTCCTGCCTCCACCCCCAAAGTCTCCAGGTATTTTCCAACCCAGACCTAGCAACCCTACTCTATGTAGCAATCCTGGGATTTCTTGGTGGTCTCCCATCCAAATATGAACCAGGGCCAACCCTGCTTAGCTTCTGAGATTTGATGAAATTAGGCTAGCCTGGGCCATGTAGATCAGGTCAAAGGTTATGCATTTACAGAGGTCAGCCCCCCCCTTCTCTGAAACCCAAGTACTCTTTGTACCATATTCATGCAAAGGTCCACTGTGTCACTTTAGAGTGGGCTTCAAAGACAGAACCAGCTTATTATTGATTACTATGATTAATTATGTTGATATTATTTATCAGTTATATTATTAACCTAAGAACCAGGCTCAGAGGTTAAGACGCTGAGTTGCAGACCAGAAGGTCAGTAGTTCGGCAGTCTGAGACCTGAGTGCCACGTGATGGAGTGAGCTCCGGTCTCTGGCCCCAGCTCCCGCCAACCTAGCAGTTCGAAAACAAGAAATTGCAAGTAGATAAATAGGTACCACTTTGGTGGGAAGGTAACAGGCTTCTGTGCACCTTGGTGTTCAGTCATGCCGGCCATATGACCACAGAAACGTCTTCAGACAGCACTGGCTCTTTGGCTTGGAAACAGAGATGAGCACCACCCCCTAGAGTCAAATTTGACTAGCTTTTGAGCAAGGGAAACCTTTACCTTTACCTAAGAACTGGATTATTATGTCTCTTCTTCTCTTCCAAGTTACAATACAAAGCAATATAATGCTTTTTTATGTGATCAGTTTTGACATGGAAAGAAAGAAGTAAGATGCCATTAAAAGGAAAGCTTGGGAGCCAAAGTACATAACTATTATACTGTTCATTTGTTTTTAATGGATTGAACAGAAATCTCAGATTCCGTAGCCACAATAAGCACGTGTGATATTTCCTGTGGTTTAGGACAGACCTGAACCAGTGCTTTTCTGCACACTGTATCCAAGAAAATAGCATGAGGGGCTGGTGCAAATCCATCTTCCTTTCTCTGGTCACGGAGAGCTGCTCTTTATGTTCAGAGAAAGAAACCTTGCATGGTGCATCCTTGTCATGTTTACAAAACAAAACCCTGTCATTTCCAGTCATCGAGAATACATTTTAAACCGTACTCCCTAAGCTAATTGATATGCACTACCCCTTAAAATGACTCAGATGGACTTCACTTGCTTGGTCTTGCATTTGAAATCCTGGGACATCTTAAAAGCCAGTGTGGTGTGGTGGTTAGAGAGTCAGACCCAGGGTCAAATCCTCACTCTGCCTTGGATGCTTTGCTGGGTGACCTTGGGGTAGTCACACAAACTCTGCCTAACCTACTCCACGGGGTTGCTGTAAGGATAAAATAGAGAAGAGGAGAGCGATGTAAGCTGCTTTGGGTCCCATTTGGGGAGAAAGGCAGGGCCAAGTGCCAATAGTATGGTCTAAATATCAACCAATTCTAGGCTCACTCAAGGTGCTTTCCTCTAGGTAATTAATGGTTTAACCATTACTATAATATACCGTCAAGACTAAAATGAATTGACTGTCTGATTAAGTAACTCAAATCCATAACTGATACGAACCAACCATAGGGCAATGACGCATACATACATTGTCTCTTACAGAAAAAGGGAAGATATAGGAACCTTTTCAAACTGCCTTTGTATTCCGTTTTAGTAACTGGTTGCTAATGGGTTTTTTCCTGCCATTTCAGACAGACTCGATTTAGTAACCAGCTGCTAGCAGAATTTATTTACCCGTTCACACAAATCCGCTTGTGTCAGGTTAGCAAAGTGTGGTTGAGCCACTTTTGAGGGAAACTACTTTCCCCCCTTTTCAGACCCTTCGCTGCAATTCTGAATCGCTGTGGTGTGCTGCTTAAAATGTCCATAGCACTTCCTACAATGCCGCTTTTCCCCTGTCCATTTTGCCACATGATCTTCCTCTGACCTTTTCAAAAAAACATTCTATGTTGAGCGCTATAGCCCTAAACAGATACAGCAACCCAGTGCTATAGTGGCATCTCAGTGGTGCCGCTATAGCACTGAAGTGCTATAGCGGTTTAGCGTTGTAGCACTCAACTTAAAACATTCCAAAAAAAAGTCCAAGGAAGATCGTGCAGCCAAAAAGGGCATGGAATAAAGCAGCACTGGTTGAAATGACCATAGTGCTTCAGAGACAGCTAATTAATTGATGGAAATTTGCTGTATGAAACCCTCATTCCCGTATCACTTTACTTGAAATCGGGACAACAACAAATAACACCTGGTGTAGAACAGTAAGGTGGAAATGGCCATGGTCAGTTTCCAAAGTGTTGTATGCTAGACTGCAGTTTATGGTGAAAGGCAGTGCCTGGGAGGGGTTATGCATGTTTTGCTCCAAAAGAATTTCCCAGGAGCAGTGAGTTCTGCACGCATCAAGATTATGGCTAATGACTCTAGCACTCTTTTCCTGTATACTCCAACTTACCTGTTTTGTTAACTGCTATTTTTCTTTTTGCATTTATTAATTAAATGTTATTTAAAAAAAAGATTATGGCTAATGAATGCAGCAAAGGAACCTAACTTTAAGGAATATTTGTAATAGCTCACCATAGAATTCAAGGTGTTGTGTGTAGGATTCTCAAGCAGTCTCTTGTACAGGCACCTCAGATCTCCTTCAGCTTGTCTCTGCATTAAGTGCCTTCACGGTGTACACGGGGATCAGGTTCATACTGGAGTTCCCTGCGCTCGTGTTTCAGTGCCATAGAAGACAACCTGAAAAGCGGGGAAGATTTATATGCTTGCCAAAAGGAGGTGCAACAAAGAACAAGGTTTTGTACCTTTTTCTCCCCATCTGGATTACAGACCAACATAAAGCTCACTGTTTTCTCTATAGGGTCTGGGTATGCCAGAGGTTCAACCACAGGACCTTTGCACACACACCTTACAACCTGTTGTTCTGTCAAGCCAAGGAATGCAATTTAAGTTCCAAACTAGGTTTCTTCTATAGCTTAAACTGAAACTGCTGCATCACTTGCTAAGTGAGACTAAGACCAGGCTTAATCTCCTCACTCCTGTTTCCTGTCCTATCAGTCTGAGGCTGCAGACCTCAGAACACTATCCTGGGAGTAAGCCCCAGTAAATACAATGGAGCTTACTTCTGAGTAGATCTTGCTTAGGCTTGCTCCCTACATCTCCCAGCAAGCAGTGTTTCCCGCTATAACCATTACTATACTAAGAACACAACCATTACTATACTAAGAACCAGTTTGGTGTAGTGGTTAGGAGTGCGGACTCTAATCTGCGTGAACTGGGTTTGATTCCCTGCTCCTCCAAATGCAGCTGCTGGTGTGACCTTGGGTCAGTTACAAGTTCTCTCAGAGCTGCTCTTTCATGAACAGTCCTTGAGAGAGCTCTCTCAGCCTCACCTACCTCACAGGGTGTCTGTTGTGCAGAGGGGAAGGGAAAGAAGATTTGTAAACCGCTCTGAGACTCCTTCAGGTAGTGAAGGGTGGGGTATAGATCTAATCTCCTCCTCCTTCTCTCCTGAAAATGCTTGTGGACGTCCTCTTAAGATCCAAGCTTCCTATTTTGTGGAGACTGAATGAGAATCTACACACACGCATAAACCATATCCTATATTTCCTAAATTCCCTGTTCAACTCTCTAGCATCCATTCAGGTGCATTTTGTTCGAATTAGGTATGTTTCTGAATGGGGGGGGATTCTATGTATTTGAATGTTAAAACTCAAAAAAGATATATATTTTTTTGCTTTTGACAAGAGTTAATAGGCAAAAAACTTGCTAACATAAAGGTTGGGGTTTTTTTGCCCATCTATGCAGCATTACATGTTTGCATTTGGCACCGTGCCTGACAAAAGGGTGCTCATGGGTTTTATGATGCATACCAAATGAGGCCCTGCAGCTGGAAGCACATATAAGTATATGCCTTGCCATGAAAACTCTGCATCTTAATATTGCCAAGACTTTGCTTTGGGGTTTCATGCAAAATTAGTTCCTTTTTTTTAAGGGCAGTTTAGTAACTTATTGCCATCATCAGGAAGCATTACTTTGTTCCAGGGTGTGAAAATAGCCACGGGCAAGAGTAATTCATTTTAATGTTAGTTAACGTCCTTACATCTGGGGCTTTAATCTAAACTTTAATCAGATCTTGGCATTACTTTGTTAGAAGAGCAGTTAAAATGGCCTTAGTTTTTACATTTAAGTGTACAATTATCACTCTGCAGTCACTGAAGCATAGATACTCTTTCCTGTCTTTCTCCCCGCTTATGATATGTGTGTGTGGGGGGGGCAAGATCTTGCCTTTCTGCATCTACCCAGATGGCCACCTACGGGTTAAATGTTTTAAATCCAATATGCACGGCCAGTTCCTGTGTGTGTGTGTGTGTGGGGGGTTACACCTGATCTTATGCTTGCACATTCTGTTCCACCATTACACTCACATGTGGATGTCCAGTTCTTTTGGAGGTAGGACAAAGGTGCCCAAGGGCTGTGGGGAGGGAAGGTATGATCTCACTCCCCCACCAAGCAAAGGCAGAAGGCAAAGGAGAGTAAAAAGGAGAGTAACACCACAGGGAGGGACCCTCCTGGCTGTCCCAGCAATCAAAGAAGTTTGTCTGGTGGGTACACGAGACAGGGCCTTATTGGCGACAGCCCCACGATTATGGAACAGCCTCCCCAGGGAGGTGCACCTGACCCAGCCCTGTAGCTTGGGATTTTTTTTTTCAGGAGGAGGCCTTGGGGAGGTGCAGCTCATTAAATCACATTTAATTACATTAATTCAATTTGGGGCCAACCTGGGAGTGAGGGCCCTCAAAAGAAACTCTAGGGGGCCAGGCCCCGTGGACCCCACGTTAGCTATGGGCCTGGCCTGACCCCCTCACTTTCCATCTTTAGGGGCCAGCTGAAGACAGTTTTATTTACTACTGTCTCTGATTAAAGGAGTCCAAAACTGTGGTTTCAAAATGTTGATTTTATGTATTTTTATGTACTCTCTTTCATGTATTTTATTTATACTCTAAGCCACTTTGAGCTCCATAAAAAAGAAAGGTTGCTAACAAATATTTTAACTAACTAACTAAATAAATAAATAAATAATATTGGGCAAAACAGGATTCTACTTTCTTCCTAACATAATCTGTTTTTCTTGAATGTGGGATAGGTCCACCCAGGAGAAATTTACTACCAATGCTATTATATTATCTCATTATTAACCCTACTGCATTGCCATCAATGAACATGGCACTATACAGGGTAACATGAAAGAAAGTTTATAATCCAAAGCATGCATAGAAGTCCTCTGTTTAGCCTAGTCTGAAACTTCCTCCAGCTTTCTCCCATGAATTTTGACTGTGGAGGAGACAGCAGAGAGAGAGGAAAAGCAAAGCAGAGATGAAAGGAATGAGCCAGGCAAGGGGGCCGTGTGACCAAATGCATTTGCATCTGCTGTATTCTATTCCAGTACAAAAGAGCCAGAGTCCAGGCGCACCTTAAAAACTAACAAAATTTGTGGCAGGGGATGAGCTTTCATGAGTCACTGCTCACTTCTCCAGATCTGAAAACTCTTCAGACTCTTGCTCTTTTCTACTGCTGCAGACAGACTAACACGGCTACCCATCTCCATCTATTCCAACAGAGTTATTGAATAGCCGGAAGGTGTTTAACCCCACCCATTCCAAAAACTCACATAGACAAAATGGAGAGGGGAGGAATTAATTTAATAGTAGTTTTTTCGATAATGAAGCTTTGGTTAAGACAGAGCCTGGATTCCAGTTTAAAATACTCTTTTAGAGAACTTTTTGGAGAGTTCTGGAGTACAAGTTATATTTTTGATCTTTTCGTTGCTGACAGGTCTTGGAGTTATCATAATCCTACTTGCCACCATGGTCACCTCCATTACTGGCTTATCAACTTCTGCAATAGCAACTAATGGTTTTGTTCGTGGAGGTAAAATCTTGAGGGTTTTAAATACATGTATATTTATATTCTTAACATTCAGAAGGAGTTTTCCAAGTATTATTATTAGACAAGCCAAGGGCCTCTCGCCTTAAAGTAATAACACAATGGACATTAGACCTGCAGGGAATTAAAAGGTAAGCCATACAGTCAACGGTAGTCATGACCTCTATTTTGATCCTTAACCTTCCTGTGAATCACAAAGTTCAGCTCAGTTCACGAAGTGCGGATAACCCTATCTGGGACTGACGGAGGATTTGAATCAGTTTTTCTTGGAGATTCTTGTGTTCTTTTCCTCTTTAATTAAAAAAATACCCTTCTTATTCAGAACATTGCAGGTTGCGTTTCCATGGATGGTCCGGACTGCCTGTTCTTAAACATTTAAGGGCTAATGAACATGACTCTCGTAATTTTTATCTGTAGAATACTTTGATTGCAGAGTCTTCTGAAGACGTGGGGCAAGTCATTCTGGGATTCAGGACCGGTGTCCAGTACCTTACTGGTATTTTCTTTATCTTGACAACTTAGTGCATCACATGTATTTACAGATCCAGTCAGACCTTTCTCGATCCATGATGGTGGCTTCTTACTAGCAGGATTTTAGCACAAAATGATCCGACCAAGGTATTTGGGTCAAACATCTTTTTTGGGATTTTTTCCAGGTCTTGGAGTCGTAGTTATTTGCCTGAGTGTGGTAGTTACAACTTTAACAGGTATCTCCATGTCTGCCATATGTACAAATGGAGTGGTAAGAGGAGGTGAGTATTGTTTCGATAAGAGAATACAAATCTTTGTCGAGAAACAATAGCTGTGTTCTTCCAAAACACAACTATCACGATCCATGCCATGGGAAATAATTTGGATGGAGGAACATGCATCTGTGTTAGCGGGAAAGAGGATAATCTAATATTAAATTATTAGTTTAGCCCAGGGGTCATTTAGTAGACAAAGAGGTGCAGGAGCTCATTAGCATAACTCATTAGCATAACTTATTTGCATATGCCACACACCCTGACATCACTGGAAGTGTGTCAGAAGGCAACACCCACCACTCAGGCTTGACTGGACTGTTTTGGATTGCTAGCTATTGGGGGGTGGAGCTTGTTGCATGTGCCTGCCCCCTGGGCTCTTTACTGCCGGAGCTCCGCTCCTGTGCGCTCCTGCAGGAAATGACCCCTGGTTTAGCCTAGAAAGAAGAGGAAGGTATGTTGATGCTTTCTTGGTATTTAGCATCTTTGAAGGATCTAATTTTTTCCCCTTCCGTATCTTCTGAAAACAGGAGTCAAATTACACTACTGGAAGGCATATTGGACCAAATAGTTTTTGTTATGAGGTTGGCTGTCCATTGTGAGAAACTGGAGACTAGACTAGATGGTGCTTTGGTCTGACCCAGCAGAGTTTATGATCTTATCAGGATAACATTGCTCAGATTTAGCATTAGTTTTTAAGCACTGCAAGACAGTTGTGGTTTCAATGTATTATGCTATCACCAGTTCAGCTGGCTTTTTGTGGGATAACTGTGGTTTCAGTAGGGTTATGAAAGCCTTCAGGACAGGGCAGATTATACACATGGCTCAAACCTTGTTGGAAAGTATATTCCGCTCAGCTCAGTGGGACTTGCTTCCAAGACAGTAGGATTGCGCCCGTATGTCATCTTCTGAAAAGCCTTAAATAAATTTAATGGAATAAGTGAGTATACCAAGCTGCAATCTAGATCATTTGGGTTAACGGGATTTTCATACATAGTGCCAGCTCAACTGCTCACATTTCAGTAGCTTGGGGCAGGAGTATTCTTCAGGGCACCTGCACCAATGAAGCAGGATCATTAGCAGAATTATAAAAGATTCTAAGACTCAAAACTCCAGTCCCATGCAAATATGCACAATACAATTCCAGCAGCTTCTGTGACTATGCAACGGAAGCTAATGCATATCTTCTTGGAGTACCAGCTGCATCTACTGGGGGAAGCAAAATGCCTTGGGCCAACTTTGTTTGTATGGTAAATGTTACTCTCTGCTGTACTGGCAGGTGGTGCTTATTACCTCATCTCCAGAAGTTTAGGACCTGAGTTTGGGGGCTCCATTGGATTGATCTTTGCCTTTGCTAATGCTGTAGCAGTAGCCATGTACGTTGTTGGATTTGCAGAAACGGTTGTGGAACTCCTCAGGGTAAGTATGATTCCCATACATGTGGCTAAAAAAACACACCAGTAAAACCTTGTTTTAATAACTTTTTATTCATACTGAGCACACGTTTAATAAATGCAATAAGTATCAACTTTATTAGTGAATTAGAAGTCTCTAAATGTAACATAAATTCTAATTTATAAGCTTTCTCTTCCCTTCTGCCAGGCTGAGGGAATGCTTCTTACATTGCTGTAAGAATTTCAGAATCACTAAAGGGAATTAAGGTTCTAATTAGCCTGCCAATAACCTTGGCGATTGAGGCCCAACCAGCATAAAACATGTGAAACTCAGGGCTCATTACCCATGGAATGTCAAGAATCCCTCTTTGGCCATTTCCTTCTGTTTTATGTAGCTGCCGGAGCTATCTTGCACAAACGCTGGTATTCTTAAGCCCTTTCTTTCTCACCATATTTTTCCAGAGCAGTAATGCCATAATGGTGGATGAATCCAATGCCATCAGGATAATAGGAGCCATAACTGTTGTGGTTCTTTTGGGCGTCTCTGTGGCTGGCATGGAATGGGAAGCAAAGGTAAAACACCGCACTAAAAATAAGTGTTTAGAGAAAATGAACACACAAGAGGTTGTTTCATAACCACTAGGAGTCGATGTTGCTCAATAGAGTAAGTCTGAGGATCAGTGTGACTCTAACAGGAAGGCAGAACAAATTGAGAGTCCAGTGGGCACCTTTAAGACCAACAAAGTTTTATTCAAGGTATGAGCTTTCTTGTACATGCACACTTTCCCAAATACAGTGGAATGGTAGGTAAGGTTCGAACTTATAGGGAAGGCTCTGAGAGGCTTACTGGCAAGTTTGGGTTTGCCTCTGAAATATAGCCTGTTGCATCAGTAATACTATCTATTTAGAAATACTAGAAAATGACTAAGCTTTTTCAGAGTTAAATGTGAGCAGCATGCATTTTTTCATTGGTGGAAGACAAAAGTAAAGTAAAGTTCCTTTGCAAGTAGGTCAAGACAAGCAGAGTAAATTTAGACGGGAGCCCTGCTTCAAAAAGTCTGAGAACCACTGGTAAAATGGTCATTTCTTGGATTTGCGAGCTCATTCCCATCTACTTTTTATTCAATATACATATCTGAGTACACAACGTACATGTGTCCCATTCAATATAAAAGACGCGGGCATTCATTTTTTGCCTGGTTCTGCTTTCAAATACATTGGAACAGGTCTCTGTTCAATAAAGGGGAAGAAAATGGTAGAAAATACACACACAGAGAACAATAATTAACCCATATATGGTGGGATATGCCTGACATTTGTACTTAGGAATGTACATTTCAGTACAAAAAGTCAAGGAGAAAAAAGGAAGTGTGGATTCTTGGGCCACCACTGGGGGAGTGGATAGTACCTCCCTGAAATATTTAAAAGCATTCCTTTTGGACATCCTGCATAGTTTCCTGTAAGCAATACTTTATATCTAGGACTTAGATAAAAAATAGCAGATCAAATTTGAACTGTTATCTGGTCAAATATGCTAATGTTGACATAAAAAGAGGGACTCACAAAAATTTGGCTCAGTGGCTGTCATTACTAGCTGTTTAAATGCCGTTCAGTACAAGAGTATGTGGAAGAACTCCAGCGTCCTGAATGCAAGAAAATGAGTCATGCCTAAATGCAGCTGAAATCAACGAGACCTTAGCCACTACTAAGAAGTCCCATTGATCTCACTGACGTATCTAATATTCTCTGGATTTAGGCCCAAAACTCTGAAAAACACTAGTTTAAAAATGGCCTGTGGATAAATAAAGAGCAAATACTCAAAGCAAATCCACAGCTTAAATTGCTGCTTTTTTCATCTTTACAGGCCCAAGTTGTTCTTCTAATTATCCTTCTTATTGCTATCCTGAACTTCTTCATTGGGACAGTCATTCCAAGCAACGGTGAAAAGAAAGCCAGAGGCTTTTTCAATTACCAAGGCAAGTTTTCTGCTTATTTTTTTCCTCACCCCTGTCTTATACATAAGAGATACTGCAGTAAATATGAGCAATTTACAGCAGGGAGAGCCCAGCAGCATCCCACACAAATCAAAACTGGGCAGGTTCATGATACCATGTTTCCAGCCGGCTACCATTACATTACAACTGCAGGATATTGTGTATACGCTAGCAACACTCAAGTACCATCTAGAGCAGATTGCCATATAGAACCTGCTGACTGCATGCCGGGTTTTCATTCCAGTGCCTGACTCCATCCAGTCAGGAAGACGTCTATGGCAAACTGCTCTAGATGCTCCATTATGCATTTGGGGTCATATTCCTCTAGGAGAGCTCTCCAAGGTGGGGAGGGGCAAAGTGACTCTGTGAGATTTATATGTTCCCTAAAAACTCACAAGACTGTTCTCCTTTCTTTTGCAGCATCAATATTTGCTGAAAACTTTGGACCAGCATTCAGAGATGGAGAAGGTTTTTTTTCTGTATTTGCCATTTTCTTCCCAGCAGCCACTGGTATTCTTGCTGGGGCCAATATCTCTGGAGACTTGGAGGTGTGTCTTTCAAATGACTGAATGAATATGTATCATTACACCTTAACATTGCCAGAATAGAAAGCGTTTCTAATGTTCTTTTAGATGACAATGCATAAATGTTTTATTATCATAATTTATGCAACACCTAATAAGTGAAACAGATACATACACTAAATAATGACAAACATGATATTTGAAACAAGTCATTGGATCCAAAGAACAATGACTGGAAGGAAAATACTAGCTAGAACTGTTCTGCAAACACTTAAAAGTTCACGCGCTGTGCATTACATTCTATAGTAGCTCCCATGCGCTGCTGGTGCAAATTCTTACACAAGCTCTTATACTATCAGACCATCATCTGTGGATTGGATAGTTGCATAGTGCTCTATCACAATCATGTGAGGACAGGCCCCCTAGCTAATACCCCACTTGCATAATCTGATAGAACAGAGCTGGCTGGACAAAATTTATCTTATAGAAACAGACTATGAAATTTTAAAAGGCCACCAATAACTCTAGTAGCACAATATTAATGGACCCATTATCAGGGTACTGCACTTGGAAATGAGCTACGTAATCCCTATTACCACAGCTTTGCTAATTCATGAAAAGCTGTACGTATGGTGAAAGTGAAATTTATAATTGGAGGGGGAGAATGCACAGTCTTCTTTTCTCTAAAATGGGCTGAATTGGACAGAGGAATCAATCCTGCAGTTTTCCTTTTGCCCTTTACTGAGTTCTGGTAGGGTCCTGACAGGAAGCAAGTCTTGTTCATGCCCCCAATTTGTCATGAACACACGCACGCACACATGCACGCACACATGCACACACACATGCACACACAAAGACTTTTCAAAGGTGGGAATGTGGCAAGTTGCAACACTGACACTATTAGAGGGCACAGCAGTTCTTAAACCGGCGGCTGTGTGTTTGGCTTGGGAGACCACTACAAGAGTGAGAACATGCTACATTGCTACAGGGGTTTTCAAACTTTCCACTGTAGCCCGTTGTACAAGACAGGCAACAATTTAGCAATGCCTGACTGACAATACTTAGCAAGTCCTTTCCTGTCCCTTGATTCTTCATGTTTAGTCTTTTGGTTACACTGGCATGCATTTAATTTTCACTCTATGACAGCCATAACAAGGCCAATGGTGATGAACAAGCAACCAAAATAGTGTTCTGAAATAAGAATTGCTGAGACAAGCCATGATTAGAGGCAGGTGCATGCTAAGTGTCTGCACAAGTGCTAAGCAAGCTCAGAGTGTGGTGCTGTGTAGAGAATTCAGCATCCTGGGGATCTGAGCTTTCTTTTCCAGCAAAGCAAGTTCCTAGCCCTCTGGATAGCAAAAAAAAAAAAAGCTTGAATATGCATGGGCAGTAATTCAGAATCAGTGGCATGTGTGAAAAAAAATCTAAGTACAACTTCCTTGGATTCAAAAGTGCTTCAGTGCCCTATCTCACAACTAACAGAAGCAGAATATTACACAAAATAAGAAAATACATGAAAACATATTTCCTTTTTCATACATTCTAGAGGACTGGTCATTTTAGCACATTAAAGGCCTATGCTACACGATATGCTACTGTTTAAGGTGCCTGTTTCATAGAGGCTGCTATGGTCATTGCCAGCACCAGTGGCTCTGCCTTGTTCTAAAGGAGAAGACTCCTTTACACAAGGCTATATGGGATGAAATAAAAAATGAGCCCCAAACAGGCTCTCTGTATCTTGTGTGATCCAAGATCAGTATGTGTATATATATCAGCAATTATGTAAACATATATATTAGTTACATGTCTGAACAAGTCGATTGGTAGGTTAAGCATACATTGCTACATATCTGAATTAGTTAATTAGAAGTGTAAACATACGTTGCTAGAATAAAATCCATTACAATGGTTAAAAAGAAGCAGTGGTCTTCTAACTATCTTGTATCTTGTCTGACTGGTGGTTGCTGTGCAAACATAGGATCATACAATTCCCAGAATTAAATATTAATTTAAGAGTAAGACCAAGCCCAGATATTGTGGAGATGATTTTAAATGCTTTTCTAAAACTGGAGAAATTGAGAGTCATGCACCAATCTTTTTGGATAGCCTTTAAAAAAGCAGCCAAGAAACCCCCTTGCTGGCATAACTTAGAACATTTTGTTCCAAATGTGGTTCTTTGTATTGGTATTCTTGCATTTGAGCCTCTAGAGGATGACATTTCCAAGTTTTTGTATTAAATGATGAAAGATGTAGACATGGTCACATGCTAACATGAGTCCAAATGCTGCAAGCCTCATAAAGAAAAATACAGCGCTTATAACCTTTGCAGTAAAGTCATACGGTTAGTAACATTAACTGCCTTTGGGAGCAAAACTCCTGACGGAATTCTAAATGTCATCTTTGTACCACCATGCTCCTGCATTTTGACATTTTGTCAGAGCCGTGCCAATTTTTCAGCAGTGTTTAGTAAATCATACCACACCCTTTATCTTTGACTTTTTAGTGGAATTTTTAATGGCCTGCATGGATTATATCATTTCTATGAAATTAATATGGCATAGTAGACAACGCCTATAAAAAAAATAACCCATGCGAAGCAACACACAAAAGCACCAGACTGTCTAGACATTTTCAAACTTCGTACCACATTACCATAAGGACAAGAAAGTTTGTTAAGAAAACAATTGTGAAGAGTCTTCCGCACCAGATCTGTGAGTGAGTGTGAAAACGCAGAGGATGGACAGTCCTTTTTCATGTTAACAAAGTGAGATTTCACTGTAGCTTTTGCTCTTATAATGTTCCAGGACCCACAAGGAGCTATACCCAAAGGAACCATGTTGGCCATACTGCTAACAACTGTTGCTTATGTCGGTGTAGCCATCTGTGCAGGTGAGTAAGAAGCAGACATTTGCATTACAGTCTGGTGTCATAATTAATACCGTTGAGCATGTTCAAAGCTCTGTGCTCAGATCGGCACTTAGCATCCTCATTATTTTTTGATCCTGCGGATTTGCTGTGCTGTGAGACAGATGTACGCTAGCAACTGAAAACACAGGCTGCAGGAACAATCCCCATTTGTCAGTGGCGTGCAACTGGGACGGCTGAGAATCTGCAGTCAGGTGATGGGATCCCTTTGACAGGGAAGGGTCACAGACTCAAAACGTATTTCCACACCGCCAAACAGGTGATCTCACTATGTGGATTGGCATGTGGAAACCTAGTGGTCATTAACACAAGGTCATTATTGGGCAGCTGTGGTGCAGCACTCTTCCTGTCTCCCCGTTTCAGGTTGCCTCTTTCCGCTGTGTTGTTGCCACTGAGATGAAATGCAGGTCGGGCAATTCGACAAGGAAGAGGAACCAGGGTTGCTCTTCTGACTCAGAGGCTTCATGAATCCCCCGTGTTTGGATTCAGGAGAGATTTTAGGTCAGACTGACTGGCTAGCTACCACTCAGGGTCAGGGCTGGCTGAGTCCAAATCCAGGAGGACAGCTGCCAACTCAAGATCCCGGCTGAAGCAGAAAGCTCCTGCCAGAGCCAGAGGCTGTTCTGTTGACCAGGCAAAGCAGGCTCCTGGTATTCACAACCAGCCAACCCAGAAGCTGTAAAACAGCAGCCAACTGCAGGAGTCGGTGTTGTATCAACTTATTCTCTGTGCCTTTCTTTGCCTGGAACACAGACACCCGGAGGTAGCGCAAAGGACGAGGTTCGAGCCCCACAAGCCCTGCTTTCTGCAATCAGTGGCATGAGCAGGATCCATGAAGATTTGTCTTAAAACCAGTGTCAAACCCTGCATCAGTTCATTGTTTCTTAAAGGCTTTTGTTGATCCCGGCTGTATCTTTCAGATGCTGCCGACTTCCCTCATGATTAAATAAATGTGTCTGAATTTGAGCCATTTGTACATTTCATCCATATTCGAGACTGCCACAAATACAGGAGGTTAAATGCAAAGTCCAGATCAATAATTCCTTAATAAATGGTGGCATTATTTGAGATGTGAGAAAACTCCCCCATCCCAAGATAACAGGAGTGGAAATACATACAGAACATAGCTGACCTACGAGTGTGTGGTGCTGTGAGAATATCTGCCTCTTGTCACAAGGAACAGGAATAATAATATGCTCTTGTTTCCACAGCTGCTTGCGTCGTACGTGATGCTACCGGGAATGTCAATGATACAGTTGTCTATGGAATGAATTGCAATGGATCATCTGCTTGTGCCTTAGGCTATGATTTCTCCAGCTGTAAAGCCCAGACATGTGGCTATGGGCTGATGAATAATTTCCAGGTTCAAAAGAGCTCTAATTATGCAATTTGTGTAATCATATGTGCGTTGTACAAATGAGCAAAAGAGGCACTGTATATAATAACCAGAGCCAATACACTCACCCACAAGCAAGCAGTAGCATGCGTTGGCTGGGGATATTTTCGGTATCTGTACTAACTGACCAGCTGAGGTATATGACCTATATAGGTAGACTTTGAAATAGTAACCAGGACAGTCACCCTGACATGACCTCATCCAAAGCGCCAAGAAGCAAGACTTTATTCAGTCTTTTTTGAGGATGAATTGGCTGATAAGCATGCAGTAGTAAAGAAAGTGCTGGGCGTGGATCGGAACTACTTGGGCAACTCTTTGTCTCTGAAGCCTGGTCTATAGAATGAGGTGGGACTTAGGAGGTCGCAGCAAAGGGGAGGGTCAAAGTTTTGATGCTCCTCTACAAGGGAAAAAACCCCACATCCCTACAAGTAGAGAACTAACATAGAAGGAAGCAAGCTGGGCTCCAACTTTCTCCCTAATGTGCTAGTTTTCACTTGCAGGGAAGCACCACCCAACTGAACCAGTACAGTCCACTTTACCACCTCAGGACCTGCCTCCTTTTCATGCATGGACTAAGCCCCAAACTAGAGCATCATTGTTAAAAAGAAAGTTTGTGACACCTTACTTTCTGCCATGTGTTCTTACGATGCTATACTAGCTATGCACACACAGAGCCACCCTAAGAACACTTTCCTGGGAGCAAGCCACGATCAGTACACCTGAATAGTACTGCTCTCACAGAGAGTCCTATACAGCAGACCAGGGCTTCTACACTTGCTTCATTGGAGGAGGCCACCCTACCTGGCTGCAAGAAGAGCCTGCTACCACTGCCCAAGTGAGTGGGACAAGCAAAGGAGGCACCCTCGAGAGTTCCATGGGCACGCTGGAGAATAAAGAAGGCTTTGGGTCTAAGCAGCAGAATGTAGAGTTCATTAGTTGTAGATTTTCCGGGCTGTATGGCCGTGGTCTTGGCATTGTAGTACCTGACGTTTCAAACAAACCTGTACAGCTCCTGAAACTTTCCAAAACTATACAATACACCCCAATAACTGGTGTATATATATATATAATGGAGACTATTACATGTACAAATTTCTCTTTGGAAGGTACAGAGATTACTTTCTTTTAAAGTGTAATTGCTTCTTTTGACATCCTGTTCTTAATGACAGTACTTGCAAAGGAAATACAGAGATTATCCTTTTGACTTCAGTGGGAACAGGACAGGATTCAATTACAGAATAGTTTCCTCCACTAGCAGCATCTTGTTTTCTTGACAACAAAAGGAGCTTGCTGTGCTGAATACAGAGCTGTTCAGGAGGTTTTTAATAGGTGACAGAAAAGATAAATAGAGGAGAGGTGACAAATAGTAGTGCATATCATTATCAGTATTATTATGATTCAGTGCAGCAAGCATGGGGGATTTATGATTCTGTTTGTACCTAGGATTAGCTGAGCTTCATGGCTGCCTCTTGTTTCTTTTCCCCTCAAAAAGGTTATGAGCATGGTTTCTGGATTTGGTCCCTTAATCACCGCAGGAATATTTTCTGCTACTCTTTCATCAGCATTAGCCTCGCTTGTCAGTGCACCCAAGGTTTTCCAGGTATATCCAAAGGGACAAAGTTCCTCATTCTGTATTTTCATGTAATTTGTTGAACTGCATGTACCCTGGCTTGGTGGCGCATACGGGCAACAGACAATGTTTTTAGACTCCTCTCCTCCCACCAGTCCGAATATACTTCCCAGTTCAGGATGTGAGAATGCCCTTGTCAGAAGAGCCCCCAGACACGACACAAGACCCACTGCTTCTTTCTCTCCCATGTTGAACTACCAAAACATTGGGCTAGCTGAGTCTGATGCACAAAGTTATGACAAGGGGCAGTACTGATGGAACATAACACGGCATCTTCTGTATGGGATCCCAGTATGCAGGAGGATACATGTCCCGTCTACCCAAATGGCAGGCAAGATGCAGATCTATGATAAAAGCATCCTATTAAGAGGTGCAAAGTTGAGGTATTTTTATTTATTCTATTAGATTTGTATCCCACCCTCCTCGCAAGCAGGCTCAGGGCAGGTTCCATCAATATTAATACCATTTACAATAACAATTATAACTAATTTAAAACAACAAAATTAAAACAGTACAAACGTTATAAAATACCATGCAATATCTAATCAAATGTCTCAGCAGTTAAGGTGGGAAAGTAGTGGCTGTCCAAATCTAGGATACTGATGGGAGACCAACTTGGGGTGGGGGGGAGTATGTCTGCTGCCTCAACTAAAAGCCCAGCGGAAGAGTCCCGTCTTGCAGGGCCTGCAGAATTTAATAAGTCCCGCAGGGCCCTGATCTCATACGGGAACTCATTCCACCAGGTAGGGGCCTGGGCCTTTTTAGCAAGTGGGATGTCCCTATGGCCGAGGCAAGTCAGACATCCCTGGGGCCGGCGACTACCAGAAGGTGTTGATTTGTAGAACTCAGTGCTCTATGGGGCTCATATGGAGAGAGGCAGGTCCTGAAAGTATGCTGACCCCTGGCCGCATAGGGCTTTAAAGGAAAGCACCAGCACCTTGAAACGGATCTGGTATTCAATAGGCAGTCAGTGCAGTTCAAGCAGTACTGGGTGGATGTGAGCCCACACAGGCACACATTCTGCACTGGCTGCAACTTCCAGAGCAGATTCAAGGGCAGCTCCACACAGAGGAAGTTACAATAATCCAGCCTGGAAGTGACCATTGGTGTAGGGGTTAAGTGCACGGACTCTAATCTGGGAGAACCCGTTTTGATTCCCCACTCCTCCACTTGCAGCTGGCTGGATGACCTTGGGCAAGCTGTAGTTCTGACAAGAGCTGTCCTTGAAAAAGAACAGTTTCTGTCAAGAGCTCTCTCAGCCCCACCTACCTCCCAGGGTGTCTGTTGTGGGGAGGGGAAGGGGAAGGAGTTTGTAAGTTGCTCTGAGACTCCTTTGGGTAGTGAAGGGCAGGGTATAAATCCAATCGCTTCTTCTTCTTCTCTTCTTCCATTGCATGGGTCACCGTAACCAGGTCCCAGGGCGTGAGATATGGGGCCAACTGCCTGATTTGCCTCAGATGGAAAAAGGCAGACCTGGCAATGGCGGTGACCTGGGCCTCCATAGAAATGGAGGCATCCAGGAACACCCCCAGGCTCTTCACCCTTGACGTTGGCACCCATGGCGCCCCATTGAATGCTGGAAGCCTGATCCCCAGTTGTTGTTGTTCCCCTCCCCCCACATGGCTGGCTAATCCTTACAATACCAGAGCACAGTAGTTTTGCCACTTCCAGTGGTTGCATCCCAAGCTCGTTCCTAGTCTCTGAAACACAGAAGCTATGGATGGTGATGATGATTCTCCCAATCAGCATTGCTGGCTTGCAGGGAAGAGACGTTTTGGAGTGCAGAGTAATCGTGTCACCTGTCCTTCTCATACACTTTCCCCATTTCAAAACTTACAAGGGCAAACTTGGCTTTATTCATTACATGGTAGTAACATGCTTGGAAGCACTGCATTCTGAAATCAGTTCTGCTCTTTCAACAGGCCCTCTGCAAGGATAACATCTACCGAGCCCTCCACTTTTTTGCCAAAGGGTACGGGAAAAACAACGAACCGATCAGAGGATACATCCTTACTTTCTTCATTGCTATGGCCTTTATTTTGATTGGTGAGTATACAGCTTTTAAAATTCTCCCCTAGACCTCCCCCCCCCCCAAAAAAAATAAGCCATTCCTCCAGCTTTCGGAAAGATTGCCATTACTACCACTGAAAGATATGAAAAGGAGGAAATACATTTTTGCTGCCACTGATGACAAATGCTGTGGTTGTCTTACAGTGCTTGCAAACTTTTATTTCCTATACTCTAAAAGGGCTATGGTTCCTTCGCTTTAAAATTTTTTGATGTTCTGTTTCATCCTCTTCATGATTGTGCTGTGATTTTAACTTTAATAAAATCTTTTTGAAAATGAGAAAAACAAACAAATGCAACTTTTTTTCAAGCCGTTAATCAAAGCCAGAGGAAGCAATCAAGATTAGGCTGCTATGGCCACACGTTAGTTTTGAACTGAGATTTAAGGTTACGATGCAGTCCTTGCTATTATTATGACCATGGCCCACTTCCCATAACTCCACAAGAGCATGCATGCAAGACAACAGACAAATCAACCAGTCCCCATACACACAAACATATTTCTCGGATGCTGTTTGAATATCTAGTAACTAAAATAATACCTGTGTGTTTAGCTAGCAGAAGTTATGTGCTACTGCAGTGCATCTTAATTCCACACACAACAGCTGCCTGGGCTACTGCAGGACTCGACAAACCCCAAAGCCCATGTGTCTAGAAATTTCACTGTGGTACCAAGCATTTTCATCAGTCACTTATTGGAAGTGCCTCTTGGTGATTCTCTGGAGAAGTATAATGTTTATTTAGGTGAGGGATACAGGTTAAATTTTTGTTGTGATAACAACTAGGGCTGTGTGGGTGTTTAGTGCCACCAAGCTGCTTCCAACTTACGGCGACCATATGAATTAATGATCTCTGTGGACCTAAAGAATCCTTAAACTACATTTCCCATGGTGCCATGTCTGAAAGGCAAAGGACTCATTTTCCTACTCTAAAACAATCTGCTAGCTACATATTCTGCTGGGGGCAGTACAACCTCCAAAATATCCTATCATTAACAGAGGCTCCTTGCTCAGGTCTTACAAACCGAGACAACTAGGGATACACAACATATATTTATATACAATCTACAGGTGTTTTTAAAAATTAGGACCTGTGAAGAGTTTAGGACAGGATTTTCTGGTAGTGATAATGAGAAAGTATGGTCATGAAAATATAAAAACCCTGAAGGCTGAAAAATAACTCTGGCTCCTAAATTTGGGGGGTGACTGCTAAAGTCAGTGCTGGGGGAGGGGAAGTGTGAAGAGGAGTGTCTGCCTTTTCCAGGGATACTGGAAAAATCAGTTTGGTAGCAGTTAAGAACACGGGACTCTAATCTGGGAGAACTGGGTTTGATTCCCCAGCCAGTTTGGTGTAGTGGTTAAGTGCGTGGACTCTAATCTGGGAGAGCCGGGTTTGATTCCCCACTCCTCCACTTGCACCTGGCTGGATGACCTTGGGCAAGCCATAGTTTTGATAAGAGCTGTTCTTGAAAAAGAGCAGTCTCTGTCAAGAGCTCTCTCAGCCCCACCCACCTCACAGGGTGTCTGTTGTGGGGAGGGGAAGGGAAAGGAGTTTGTAAGATGCTCTGGGACACCTTTGGGTTGTGAAGGGCGGGGTATAAATCCAATCTCTTCTTCTTCTGCACTCCTCCACATGTAGCTGCTGGGTGACCTTGGGCAAGCCACAGTTCTCTCAGAGCTGTTCTCGCAAGAGCAGTTCTCAGTCAGAGCTCTCTCAGCCCCATCTACCTCATGGGGCATCCATTGTGGGGAGAGGAAGAAAAGGAGATTTATTTATATTTATTTATTTATTCCACTTTTACCCCGCCCTCCCTGCAAATGGGCTCAGGGCGGCTTCCAAAACTGACAAGCAGTATACATACACAATAAAACATAAATACAAGGCATAGTTAAAACACAAACAATCCATATAAAACATTCATTAGATGGCGAAAAAACTAAAGTGCAGTATAAAGACACATTCAACGGTGCCCCCACGTTAGATCGTATTGGATCAAAGTTCACACAGGGCGCTGCTGGTACGCCATCTCTCCTATCGGAACGCCTGCCTGAAAAGTTCTGTTTTCACAGCCCTGCGGAACTGTGACAAGTCCCGCAGGACTCTAATCTCTGCAGGAAGCTCGTTCTGATTGTAAGCCGTTCTGAGACTCTGAGTGAAGTGCGGGATATAAATCCAATCTCTTCTTCTTCTCCCACTTATGGTTGACTGATGCAGTAGTGGCACTCAAATGACTGAAAGCAGTGGACTAGACTGTAGTGTGCTACTTGGTTGCCAACGACATGAAGCTGCTGAGAAAGGGGAATGTGAATTTATCAACAGCCACTTGTGCATAGAGGCTGAAGAGCTTGGGGGGGGGGGGAGCCCAGTCAGGCCAGGCCTCAGTGATGGAAAGGCTACACGTGAGCAGAAGGCTGTGAAGGTGAAGGTTCCCTTGCTCGAAAGCCAGTCAAGTCTGACTCTAGGGTTGCAGTGCTCATCTCCGTTTCCAAGCCGAAGAGCCAGCGCTGTCTGAAGACGTTTCCGTGGTCATGTGGCCAAGGCGCACAGAACACTGTTACCTTCCCACCGAAATGGTACCTATTTATCTGCTTGCAATTTCTTGCTTTCAAACTGCTAGGTTGGCAGGAGCTGGAACTAGAGACGGGAGCTCACTCCGTCATGCGGCAACTCGGGTTTCGAACTTCTGAACTACTGACCTTCCACAGCCTGCAGTTCAGTGTCTTAACCACTTGAGCCACCGCAGTAATTGTTTGTGACTGCAATTGTTTGTGTACACTCAGGCCACGAGAGAGCTGTGCAGAGGCTCCATGTTGCAGCACCTGTACCATGTTAGCCAGGCTGGCTAGAAGTTTGCGGGTAACTTCCTGCTCCATAGTTGGCACTCAACAGAGTTTGCCTCACACAACAGCTGGTGCTGGATGTTTGGCAGACACATCCTAATAAGGTCCGCAGTGCTCTAATATAGCTGGGCTACCGAGAAAGGGGGAAACTGTTCCAGTACTGAAGGCTACACTAGAACTATATCTCACAATAAAAGTCTACATATAGTTCCAGATACAAGAACCCTTGGATAATAGGGATTCTGGGGGTATACAAGGCTTAACACAAGTACATTTTAGGACAGCAGCATGGGTCTCATTAATTAATTAATTATCATACTGCATTGTGTGTTGTATAGCCAGGAGGTCCTAAGATTGTTTGGCAGCCAGAAATTCTAGCTCTTTTTTAGCATTATGCACCACTAGGTAGTGAGCTAGACTTGTTTTTAAGACAAGAGATGTTTTCAGAGGCGGTTTGCCGTTGCCTGACTCTGCATCACACCTTGGTGTTCCTTGGAGGTTGCCCTTCCAAATACTAGCCAAGGCCGACACCCTGCTTAGCTTCCGAGATCTGATGAGATTGGGCTAGCCCGGGCTAACCAGGTCAGGGCTATTATCCTAACAGGAAAAAGGAACAAACCATTCTACTGAGCAGCATGGTAAGAGAATCCAAGAAATGTCAAAAGTCTCGATGATGATCTTCCGTACAGACTTAAGAAACAAAGCCAATGCCTTTCAAAGTGCTTCCATGAGAGTCTTTCAGTACAGCATAAAGTCTAGTTTTGCTTGCTTGCTTCTTTTTAAAAGCATACTTAAATCAAAGGTCTTCTGTTCCAAAGTGTCAGAACAATGAATTCTGCCTGCCTTCATAATAAGTTCACACAACTAAACCCTAGGAGATTTCAGCAACAATTTTTCTCATCTGATCATAGTTTTATTCGAGCTTCTGGCATTTATCTTTGGAAATGGTTTTATATTCTGAATACAAGATGCTTTGTCACTGTACAAAACAAAACACGTTTTGGTGCATACCCTGCACCATTCTCTTCAAAGGAGACTTCAGAAAACTCCTTTCTACTAAAAAAAATGCATTGCATTTACTGTGGCACAAACTATTTCTGCCTTGATTCAGAATTAAATCATGAAGTGGTGACTTAGAGCATACCATAACAGCAGTTCCTAAACTGGCATCTAGTTCCCTCTTTGGCCACCGCTGCCAAGTGACCTCTTGTCCAGGGACAAACAGGACAATAATTCTTCTTTTTGTACTAAAAATGTAGAGTTTTACAAAATGGGGGAAAGAAGTTAAGTAAACGACATATAAAATGAATGCAAATATTCCTTCAACATCCAGGGTTATAGAACTCTAACAGAAAGTTATTGGTAGAAAACGGCAAGAGTCCAGTAGCTCCTTAAAGACTGTTTTTGTGGCTACTGGACTCTTGCTCTTTTCTACTGCTACAGACAGACTAACATGGCTACCCAGAAATCTATGGGGGAAGTAACTGTGGCTGAGATACGTATTATGAGGGTCAATATGCTCTAAATCAAATAAAGGAGGCAATTTACTCAACCAAGATATCACATCAGACATACTGGGGCACCTCCAAAGTACATTTTGAAAATATACAAGTACTTCTCGTCCAACCTGGATGGGGCAGGCGAGCCTGATCTTAGCAGATCTCAGAAACCAGGCAGGGTGGGCACTGTTAGCATTCAGATGGGAGACCCCAAGGGAGTCCAAGGGTGTCTGTGCAGAAGCTGGCAATGGCAAACCACCTCTGAATATCTCTTGCCTTGAAAACCCCATGAGGGGTCGCCGTAACTCAGCTGTGACTTAATGTCACTTTACACACACACACTTCCTGAAAATGATAGTTTCAGGAGGGTAGCTATGCTGGTCTGAAGCAGTAGAACCAGGGCCGGCCCCAGGTTTTTTTACACACTAGGCGAGGCTACCAGCTGGGCCGTCAATGAACTGGCCTGACCATCGGCCCCCAGCCACAGAGGCAGGGCTGGGGTTGGGAATGGCCCATGGAACCGCCCACCACTGCAGCAGCCGGCGCCCCCGGCCTCAGCCCACCGCCCAAGACCACCGCCCGCTAGGGCAGCGTTGGGGGCTGCAGCTTTTCCCGCTCCCGGGAAGCAGGGGGGCTTTTGGCGGGAGGCACCGGGTGCACTTTGGCGCCCCTAAGGGCCGGCGCACTCTTGGCGAATGCCTAGTTCGCCTAGTGAGCGAGCTGGCCCTGAGTAGAACAAAGTCTGAGTCCAGTGGCACCTTTAAGGCCAACAAAGTTTTATTCTAAGCTTTTGTGTGCATGCATACTTCTTCAGATCTGAAGAAGTGTGCATGAACACGAAAGCTTATACCCAGAATAAAGGTGCCACTGGACTCAAACTTTGATCTTGAAAATGAAAATACAGTCTTCATTTCTTTCTTAAATTTAAGACATTTCTTAATGATACTGTTCCTGATTAACAGCCATTTACAATGGTAGCCCATAAATGGTAGCCTGCTGTGTCACTCTGTCTCTTTCGTTGCTAACTGACAGAAGTGCTCAGGGGCAGCCATATACATTTCATGTCCAACAGTATAAAGCATGCCCAGCACAAATTCAGCCCAAAACCAAACCATATCTGTAAGGTTGAGGCTTAGGGTCCTCCTCCAGGTGCAGAGTCAGGTTCCACACTTGAGTTCAATAATCAAGGCAAGGTTTATTATCCAGACAAAATAGAAACAGTATCACTCCAAGAATGGATAACAAAAGCAAAAAGAATGGCTGGCAAAAGTCTATGGCTGATCAGAATACAACAAACAATTAAAATCAGATGGCGCTTGCAGTTAAAATGTATTAGTCCAAAGGGACAGCATCCTCCCTAAAATGATGGCACCTCCTTCAGCTATTCTCCCCCCTTCTTTATCCTGCTTAACGTCATAATGAGCTGCTGAGCATTTTATCCAGCAGGGCCAGCTGTTGATTAAGGTAGTTTGGCCCTATGGCTCCTAGTGAGATGAAAAGCAGCCGTTCCTGTAACAACTTACAAGGTCAGGCCTCCCCCGCTACTCTTCACTTAGTTCTTCAGGGTTGCAGTTTTGCAGCTGAGCTGGTTTCTTCCTTACAATATCAGAAACACCATGTCTATCAGAAGGCTTGGTCAAGGAAGCTCAACCACATATATCTTTGTTCACATAGCTATGATCTCTCAAATTTCTGCAACATTTATATAATACTATTTGTCTGCTAACTAGACATGATATCTTTAGAGGTCCCAGTCAAATAAGGTCCATTATCTCAGGCCAAGTGCAGCCATCTGCTTGGCCTATGTGCTGAGGAAACAAAAGTCCAGTCACTAAACTGATTCTCCTCAGAGACATGTGCAATTAACAGCTTTTACTCCATTCTTTCTTGCTTACAAGTATTGGGCCAAAATGTTGGTTTTAGACCAGGGGGAGGGGGTCATTGTTAATAATGGTTGCAATCTGAATTCTAATTTTAGTTTGGGGACTATGATTTTTTTCATTTTTATGCCACCTAGAATTGTTGCATATTGATTGCTGCTTAAGTGGGTCTTTTGAACCCCCCCCCCAGTTTTTGTCATTTTACTCTGTTGTAAGCTGCTTAACTGTTTGTTTCTTTTAATCCTGCAGCTGAGCTGAACACCATTGCTCCCATTATCTCCAATTTCTTCTTAGCTTCGTACGCACTTATCAATTTCTCTTGTTTCCATGCATCATATGCAAAATCTCCAGGTTAGTTTTTCAGTTTCTTCTAATTTACATAAGCTCATTTTTCAAATCATCTGAGCTGATGGGGGGAAGTGGTGGCAGACTGTGAACAATACAATTACGGCATTTGTTGTATCTCTTGCGGTAATACATCCCGCAGTTGTGCTCCAAAAACAAGTTGCAGTGGTTTTCATCTTCAATATAAGGAATTTGGACCTCTGGGGCCTAAAAAGAACTCAAGGCAATGTACAATTATTAAAAGCTTTTAAAAAATCTGTCCCATCCTCTCGACAAGACTGCACTGCAGAAAGTGGTGAAGACAAAATATGTGGCAGCGTGTGAGAGGCTAGGAGCTACACTATGGCAAGAGCTTTAGTGGGCAACTGCTCTAACTCAGTGGATACATGGAGGTGGTGACTGCAACGGGAGGAGTATGAGAGAGCTGGCACATAATACCCGCTGGCCATATAGGGCAGCCTGTTGGATGTGTGATAATCCTCCCTTTCTCCTGCATGCTTCTTAAAGACTTTTCAAGCCTGAAAGCACAACATATTTTGAAAACCACAACACAGTAAAACCCCCACTCGTTTCCACCTACTGCAGTCCCAGGCCCTAGGGGGCCAGCATCCATGGTAGGGGGTGTGTGCTTGGGTGGGTGGCGTTGTGGAGGCCTGGCAAGGGTAGAAATGTACCTGCAGCACGTTTGGACTTTCAAATTATTTCCTTCCTTTTTGGTTACCTTTTTACTAGGGCTGATTAAAAAACGTTTAGCTAATTAATTATCTGCCTTTTAAATCAACTGCACTTATCTAATTTACATTCATATTGCCAGAATCCAGTACTAGTGCCATTTTGAAATTCTGCAAAAAGCATGAGATCATAAACGATGTAAAAACTAAACTTTGCATTCGTTGTTGGAAGGAAAGGCAATGGTTCATGTTTCCTTATTACAGAAATGTACCTTGACAAAAACAGACTCAGAAACTAAGTATAGCCTTACATGCACGCCCCCACTGATTGACCCCACTGACTAATCGCCTAAAGCTTTAGGTGATTACTCCACAAATTGACGCTTGCAACCCTGTTTTTATCTGTGGTAGAGGCAATTTCCTCTTACCGAAAACGAATGCTCATCACATGCATGGAGATATTTATTTCAACAGAAGAGAAACAGACCTCTTATTTCCAACGTGGAAGAAAACATAGTGGCGGACATAAATATATATATAAACTTCATTCGTACAATTTCCTGCTGCTGCCTGTACAGAGGGGCAAGTTAAAAAAAAGAAGACTTCCCCTAGTTATCTGTGGAGCTTTACAGTTGCAGATCAGCTACACACTGGCAGGGACCGCAGTACCAGTTACTCAGTACACTTGGTCTGTGGATGGATTAGGATGCTGTAATTACTTAAAATAACAGGCAAAGCAATGCTCATTTCTCCTTCGGCTAATTTTGGCTGCCCAGACCAATTCACTTATAGGTGTTCATAACTGCACAGCTTAAAGACAAGAAAAATTTCAGAACAGCAGAACCCACCACTCTATTCTTGCTAGGATGATCCATGTTACTACTGCCAAGTTCTTCCTTATATTTTAAGTGCTTTAAAAAAACAATCCTTCAAGGAATCCGTTATCTCGAGCATTTGACAAAGACCAACAATGCACAAACAGGGAAGATATTAGGAGAAACAAAAATTGGGCTATACCCAGAATTGTGCCACCGAAAAGGAAAAAAATGCCAGGTGTATTATCATACAAAGCCCCTACATTTTTGGCTGTGCAGGCTTCGTCAGGGGGATCAGAGGATTCACCTAGTGCTGGACCTAATTGCTGTGGAAAGGTCCAGCACTAGGTGAATTCTGTGATCCCCCTGATGAAGCCTGCACAGCAAAACGCGTAGGAGCCTTGTATGATAATAAACCAGTCCCTTAACACCTGGCATTTTTCTCTCAGTTTGCTGAGATATTGGGAGAGTCATGACTGGACTTTCCCAGCATCTTTTAAAGATTAATTATAGATGTGTGCAGTTCCAAAGTTGGATCAGGGCCATGTGAAGATGGGGTGTGTGGTTAGTGGTTGCATTCCCCACACTGTTTCCCAAATGAAAACTGGTTTCACGGTACTGTTACAGCCTCTTAGAGAAAGAGACAGGCATATGCCTGTCTTCCCCCCACCCTCCCCTTTAAAACACTAACTACAGAATAGCTGCCTCATTTTCTATTAGCAAAACCAAAACACAACCCACTGTATTTCTCCCACGTGGCCCAATCCAAAACTGCCGCTGTAATTTGTCTTTAAATGGCTAACTGGGATCTTCAATCTCCATCACATCTAATTTGACCTTTAGCTGCTAGTACTTGTGCAAATGTGAGAAAGGAAAGAGGGGGGAATACTTCCTTAAAGGGAAATGATTTTTCTGCATCTGGTTTCCTCCTTAAAATGAAAATTATGTTCCGTCTTCCTGGAGATGGAGTGTTGCACACCATCCAGAACAAGGTAAATTTTACAAAACAAGCCAATGATCTTAAACAGCAGGGCTGTTACTACTGGGACACAGGTAGCCTTATACAGCTCTTTCTTTCTGAAGATCTGAATAGCATCAAACACTAATCCTTTCAGATAACTGAAAATATTCATTTTGACCCCTTCCCCTTGGAATATATATTATTTATCAAAAGCTATATCTGGTAGGCGCTTGCAACAATCATTACAAAACATACACGTGTCTGCTGGAGCAACAGCAGCACTGTTCACAGATCAGCTATTTGCAGACATGGCTTGAAACTTCATACAATACTTCAGAACCACATACTGTGGTAAGATTGGGGGGGCATATCACAGGACAATGACATTTCTATAATACTGTCTCCAAATCTCTGGTAAACCATTGCCTGTAAACAGCCAAAGAGACACATGCCAGGAAATGCCATTTTCAGCACTTTCAAATGTAGTTGTAATGAGAGTACAGCACGTGACACATACTGGCTAAAATAAGTGTGTTAAATTCTCACTGTGTAGTCTCAACCTCCTTGTTCTTTCTCACAACTGATTTAACCCCCTTTGGACTTCCATAGGTTGGAGACCTGCTTTCAGGTATTACAACATGTGGGTCTCCCTTTTTGGAGCCATGCTATGCTGTGGGGTCATGTTTGTCATCAACTGGTGGGCTGCTCTCATCACTTACGCTATCGAGCTCTTTCTCTATATTTACGTGACCTACAAGAAGCCCGGTAAGGCGAGGCATAGACTTGTCAGTGGACAAAAATGTATCCATCCTCTGAGTGATCATCGATATGTGAGAACCAGTTTGGTGTTGTGACTAGGAGCGCAGACTCTAATCTGGGAGAACCGGGTTTGAGTCCCCACTCCTCCACATGAAGCTGCTGGTGTGACCTTGGGTCAGTCATAAGTTCTTTCAGAGCTGTTCTCTCAAGGGCAGTTCTTGAGAGAGCTCTCTCAGCCCCACCTACCTCACAGGGTGTCTGTTGTGGGGAGAAGAAGGGAAGGAGTTCGTAAACCACTCTGAGACTCCTTCGGGTAGTGAAGGGCGGTGTATAAAGCCAATCTCATCATCATATGGGGTTTTCTGGCTCACCCAGGAAAAAGTCTGTGATACTTACGGTACAGATGTGTGGGCAAATATATGTTAAAAGGCTTTTCTCTGTTCAAAGGCCGCATATCTCCAGCAAAACATTAAGAGAGTTTTCTCCAGGTAGATGGAAGTAATGCAGGGGCTGCTGCAAGTGGCAGCATCAGACATGGCTCCGTTCTTGTGCTGTTAATGAGCACATACCGTCCTGCTTTGAAAATGCATTCTGTTACTGTGTTATTAAATTATGAATACTGTGGAAATATACATTCAGACAAACATTCTGTTGCCAGCGCTAAGCCTGAAATTGATTGTAAGGCTTAAACTGTAGACACAGTGGAGTTTTGCACTTCTTACCCCCATGTGCTACTTTTGCAGTCCAAAATGGACTCTCTGCCACCATCATTCACTAGTAGGAATTACATAGATCTGCCACCATCATGACGGGCTCTCCTCGTCATGAGCACTGCTCTGTTTGGCCTCCTTCTCACTATGGACTGACCTGCACTTTTCGGCACTGTGCCTCCCCCTTGACCTGCCCCCCACCCACTCAAAGGATGCTAAGCAAGGATTTTATGGATAAATCCGTCTCCTACTTGGACGACAAGAGAAAATGCAGAGGACCCATCCCCATAGCGATGCTTTGAAGGGATTGGCAACCAAAAGTAAAAGTATGGCGGTCCATAGGAGTAAGTAAATTAGCTTTAAATCAATTACACTCCATTACTGATGCAAGAGACACAGCAAATCTACCGTTTCAGCAATAGACCAACAGGGCCAAGAAAACAAAAACAAAAAAGTCAGAAAGTCAGACACCACGTGACTGAGAGCATGTGGAATACATAATTCACGTACTCGAGGATTGCTGGGGAAAGATCTGGAGGAAAACTAGTTGTGCAGAATGAAAACACAGCATCCACAGTAAAAACAGAATGACTCAAGTACAGTAAAAATCAGGAGTAAGGCATGAATGCAGAAAGGGCCTCGTGTAGATGCAAGCAGAGGCATCCAGACTACTTTGAATTCTACCCTAATCTGTCCATTCCCTAAACTCTCCTCCTTTCCCCCCTGGGTATATTTAAATTAACCCCAGTGGAAGAGAGGTGTTTTTAAAAAACAGGAATTTTGCCTAAGAACATGTGGGAACATTATTCACTCCTTTCTCAGATACCTAATATTACCTGGCAGGTGGCTGCTGCTGCTGTTTTCATCTGGCACACACTCGCTCCTGCTAGGAAAACCTCTGGGGAAAGGCAGCTTCTGAGATACTGCTCGTCTCTAACTCCAAACATATATTTGCTAATGAGGCTTTTATGAGTAGTACAACTTGGCCCTGCCTCACAGAACACCTGGATGGATAAAATCAGCTGTTCTCCCAGTTCTTTTTAGAAGACAGTCAATATACCTTTTCCTTAATGTACGGTACAAACACACTAACCCAAATGAACCAAGAATAAAATAGCTTGCATCTGAATAATTTTCTACCTGGAATATGAAACACAAAATTGATTTCTTTGGTTGGTACTCATTCTAATATTCTTTTCAGATAGGAGATAATTTAGGTAGGTCTCCAGTTTTCTGTGAAAGCAAAATGTATCTAGTCCTCACTGTTCCAGAATGAAACTACAGCAAATGAAAACGCTATCTGGGGGACAGCAGGGCTCACACATTTCATCTTCTTCACCAGGCATGGCTTTGGAAAGTAATAATTTCTGCTTTCAGGAAAATTATTGTTGTTACAGCACAGCTGCAAACTACAGCTTGTTCTCTTCCCTACAAACCAGGAGTTCATGGCTTAATCTTTGAACGAATCTACGGGGAAAAAGCAAATCATAGCTTGTGGTTTTGACATAGCAGTAAACAAGACTGCTGCAGTAAATTTTTTGATTAATTTGTGAGATGCATAATTGGGGAAGAGGAATAGAGTGCACAGTTCTGAGGATCCTGGTTTGCTATTGCAGTCAAACATGACTTTGTGACTAAATTTAGGAGTAACTTCTGATTCTCAAATCTGACTTTAGCAATAACTAATTGGTAAAACAGGACTAGTGATCTACTCTCAGTAATGTCCATTATTAAGAGATTTTTAAAACAGAATGTAATGTATCTATTTAGCATTCTACTCTCCTCTTGACTATTGCTTACAGGACACAGGTGGTCAACTTCTGTAAGAGAAGATAAAACCTAAAATGATTTCCTAGGAGTTTAGGTTTAATATACACTATTTTTCTCCCCTACAACAGAGGTAAATTGGGGATCATCTTCACAGGCACTCTACTATGTTTCAGCCATTGACAGAGCATTGGAATTAACTACAGTGGATGATCATGTGAAGAACTTCAGGTAGTGGCTCCATGGAAATGCTCGAAGATTTGTTGTGCAAAAATCCATTTACAAATTTAATCCACCTCTTTCTGCCATTACAGGCCTCAATGCATAGTATTAACAGGAGGACCCATGACAAGACCAGCTTTGCTAGACATCACACATTCATTCACAAAGAACAACGGCCTCTGCGTCTGCTGCGAAGTATACACGGTAGGCTCCATGAACTTCAGTCTGCATTAGGGATGGGCATGAACCTTAAAAATCCGATTTGCGGTGGCCCCCAAACTGAACCCCAAACCAAGCGGCCCTGAAATTGTCATTTTTGTTTCCCCTTTCTCCCAGCTGTGGCAAGCCACAGCCAGAATAAAGAGGGGATTGCCTGGGAAGGGTTAAATGGTTGGCAGCCAATTAACCCATCTGTTTCACTTCCCTGAGCTTTGAAGGGGGGGGAGCAAAACCAACGGGTTTAATGGCTCACAGCCATTTAAACCTAACAGCTGACAGATGGACCCACCCTGCTGTTAGGTTTAAATGGCCCAAACAGCCATTTCACTGGTCAGGTTTGCTTCCCCCTGCTTCGAGGCTGAGGGAAGCTAAACCGACTGGTGCACCCCTCAGCTGTGAGGCTAAAATGGCTGACAGCTATCTCACCGGTTGGTTTTGCTTTCCCCTGTTTCAAAGCAGGGAGAAGCAAAACTGGCCGGTGAAATGGCTCACAGCCATTTAAACTTAACAGGTCAGCTGCAGACCCACACTGCTCAGCTGTTATGTTTAAATGGCCCAAACAGCCAAACTGGACAAAAGTCCAGTAAATTTTCAGGGAAGGCATCTTCCCCAAACATCAGCTTGGGGACTCTGAACTGGCCCAAGTTCATGCTGAATTTTGGCTCGTGAGCTGGTTCGTGCCCATCCCTAGTCTGCATCACACAAAATGGCTGTCATGTGGAGGCACCATGAAGAATGTTGCAATGGAATATTGAAGCAGCATGAAGGAAAGCACATGGTGCCAGCCGGTCACTTAAAAAGCAGAAGTATGTGAATGACTTACAGTGCAGTCCTAAGAGTGGCACCCTTCTTAGTCCACTTAAGTGAGTGGGTTTAGGAGAGTATAATTCTGCTTTGGATTGCACTGTCACTGTAGGAAGCCCCTGCCAACATAGAAATTTCAAGTGATCTCTTCATACTGGCCATTTTATATAGTAGGCTTCATTGGTAACATTTCATACCTTGGGGCACACCTTGGAATCAAGCAGTGGTACTCATTCCACAGCTTATGGAGAGCCACATTTGCAGTTGCCATAGACTAAAAGAGCCACATTTACATCCATCTGTAGCATGAGGCCTGTAATTTAGGGAGACTGCCCTTCAGGCAATGGCTGTTTCAAAATGGGAACCACCTGTCAACCAAAAGCCCCACTGCACATGGACCTTGCCCTGAAACATAGGGTATGTACCTTATTGGGGAACAGTGCTCAGAAGAGTGACAGGTTGCATGTCAAAGAACCACATGTGGCTTCTGAGCTAATACTGAAAGAGTATAATCAGTCTAAAGGGAAAGTCTACAGCATAGGTTTTGTATGCCAATGATGTGCAGATCATAAAAGTGAAGTTTTCAAGCATGGTAGATTCACGTTCAGATAGGACAGGTCTCATGTCTAGATGAGACCCTTCTACAAGGGATTGTTCCTCTCTCCCTGTATGTCCACCCGTCTAGCCAAGAATCCTTGCTTATGGTTCCCTTACATCAATGATCTCCACCATTTTCAGACCTGAAACCCACCGAATTGCAAACATGTAGGAAGTCATATGATAAGAAGGGGAGCCAGAACTAGTGTCAAAACCAGGACCAAAACCAGGACCAAAACACCTGAGTACAGGAAATACAAACTAAGTACCAGAAGGTGTAGCATAATGAGGAACAAGCCAAGGGTCACCAACAGGAGGGCACCAACAGGAAGGGGAAAAGACTTCTTCCTGCCTCCCTATTGGCACGGTGGGAATAACCCATGCAGATGTCCTCCGCCTCAGAGGGAGAACCTAGCATAATGAGGAACAAGCCAAGGGTCACAGTCATCGACGAATCCACCCCACCAAGTGAATTGCCTCGTGATCCTGCTGCTCTGTTCGGCATGCTTGCCAGTTTGGTGTACTGGTTAAGAGGGCAGACTCTAATCTGGGAGAACCGGGTTTGATTCTCCATTTCTCCACATGTAGCTGCTGGTGTGACCTTGGGTCAGTCATAAATTCTCTCAGAGCTGTTCTCTCAAGGGCAGTTCTTGGGAGAGCTCTCTCAACCCCACCTACCACTGGTGGACCTCCTGATGGCACTGGTATTTCTGGCCACTGTGTGATACAGAGTGTTGGACTGGATGGGCCTTTGGCCTGATCCAACATTGGCATCTCTTATGTTTTTATGTTCTTACCTCACAGGTTGTCTGTTGTGGGGAGGGGGAGGGATTGTAAGCAGCTCTGAGACTCCTTTAGGTAGTAAAGGGTGGGATATAACTCGAATCTCTTTTCTTCATATGTTGAAGATTGCTATACACCATCAAATTAGGTCCATGATGATAAAAAGAAAGCTTTTTTCCTTGGGTTTTTCTACTTTGTGGAATCTCCTCCCAGAAGAGGGAAGTAGGAAATGCTATTTTTTTTGCTGAGCACTAACAAGGGTCATAAAAGCTTCCACTTTAATATAGGATTTAATTTATAATCTAGATGGCAGGTTGTGAGAATTTTTCTTAAATTATTTTAATACTTGTTTCAAATCTGTTTTTTAAATTATTTTAATTATCTATATTGTTATTTTAAACTATTTAATTGTTTCTCTGGATTTGTATTTAATTATGTTAGCCATCTTAGAATGCAGGAAAGGTAGGAGTATTAATGTCTCAATTTAATAAAACTAAAATAATAAAGGATTGCAGCAATTAATGAATAAAAAACCTTAAAATACTGTAGGACTGCCACACAGACCAATACAGAAGCTAGCTGGTCTCTCTTACAACAGTTGACCTACACAACTGAAGTCAACAGAAATTTTACTGTGTATCCAGCAGGGATATTGCTAGGCTCTAAAACAGTCTCAGGTCAGCAAGATTATTTTTTAAAAAAATTATTGGTTTTCACACAGTGTTGGGAGATTTTTATTTCTGCCAATATTTAATGTAACTTTTCTGTGCTGGTGTAAGCATTTTGGTTGTTTTCTCTCTTTTTAGAAAATTTAAGCCAAGCTTAGTTTTATTGGCCAATAAAATTTGTAATACAATGAACTTCTGTGATCTGCGGAACAGGGAAAATAAGGTAGTGATAAAAAGTAATGTGCTGCCAATTGGGTGCCCATTATGCTTGTAAAGACTGTTTACTTAACCCCATTTGTCTGTCTTTGTTTTGTTTTTACCCTAATGTAAACTAGTACTGTTTATACTATGCTGTGAAAGATGCGTGCAGCCAGGGATAGCACCTGCCCAGAATTTGCTGTATCTCAGGGACAATTTGCATGGGGAGAACTACTATTGGATTATTATCAGTCATCATTACTACTTGTTTAGCATCATCAATATAGATGCAAGGGGCTTTCTAACTAAAATCTGCCATAAAGGAGATGACCAAGGGAGAGGAGGTGGAGCAGGGCAAACTAGGGAAGAACAGACATTCATTTCAGTCACTTATGCGCAGGCTTAAGTTTTCAGTAGATAAGAGGTAATGTATTATATGCCAAAGGCTTCACAAAAAAATGTGGATTTTGATGAAAGACTGAAGAAATAAGGGCTGATTCACAAGACCCCACCACCACAATTTCCCAACTTGAAATGGTCCCTGGGAGCCACTGTCTGCCCCTCTGGGGAAACTTTCATGCAGCCGTCAGTACATTCAAGTTTCTGCCACGGGGCAAATAATAGCTCCCTGGGGCCATTTGAGGCCAAAATAATGGGGGGAAGACTTAACCTCCCCTCTCCTTGTATGCCACAGTTTCAATCCAAATTGGGCCTGCACACCTGAGAATCATGTTCTGAAGTTCATGCACAAACGTGATTAAAAATCCCTGTGGCAACCATATGGAGGATACGAAGACTTTGTAATGTGTAAAAGAAGAGGGGCATCACACAGGTTGTTTATGGAAGGCACTCCTAGGTATAACGGGGCAACTCTGGGCAGCAAGGGAGGAAGGGCAGAGCTGTATGCGGAACAGGAGACTTCTGAATGGCTGACGGTGATAGATCTGGAGGAATGAAGGCCACAGACGAGAATTATTGGGATAGGAGCAGAGAGATGCAGGGGGAGGGAACAAGGCCACAAAGGGCACTGAAATAAGGAAGAGGAGATTGAGCTGGGTCTGGGAGCAAAAGATCGTGGAAGGCAATCGCTAACTACTTTCGGGTTCACCGCCCCCACTGCCCTGATCCAGTTCTCTTCACTCCTCTGGTGCCTTTCTTTTAACTGTTACACAAAATGTCAGGAAGGCTGATTATGGATTTTGCACGTAAGGTGTAGTTTGGCTGTTGCTTGTAGCTCTAAGACGGTGGTGCTATTCCATGAACATGTTGATCTCTTAGAAGCCCACCAAAAGCCATGCGATGTAATATCCATTGGGATGTTCCCCCAACCCAACACCATGCCCCCCTTTTAAAAAGCAACCAAAGTGAGGTGGCTTCATTACATAAATGCCATACAAAGACAGGTATGTGAACTGATCCTAAATCAAGCATCTCATGTCAAAGACTTCCATTGAACTAAGTAGTTATTGGGCTGTTATGTTAACATCATGATATTTCCCCATTTTTATGAGCAGCAGATTCAGTTCTAAAGATGTGTGTTTAAACTTGTTTTTATGAGTTATGACTGTAACCTAAGCGGTGTTAACAGGCATACACTTCTTCAACAAAAAATGATCAATGTTAGCAGCAGGTATCATTTCAAAGGGCTAAATCTCTATGGACTCCTTTGTGGAAATGGTCCCCCCCCAAAAAAAAATGCGCTTTCCATTCCCTCGCACAGCAGATTCAGTAACTCCTTCAAAATTGACATCATTGTGTGATGCATAATACAATAGTCCCCTTCCTAATATATTATTGTGTCATGCAGGGCCCACGCAAGCTGTGTGTTAAGGAGATGAACAGTGGCATGGCAACAAAGCAGGCCTGGCTGACAAAGAACAAAAGGAAAGCCTTCTATGCTGCCGTGGCAGCTGACAGCTTTAGAGATGGAGTCAAAAGTCTCCTCCAAGTAAGCTCTTTATTTGCACAGCACATGCGAGAAGTATGACTTCAAAGCAGCCTCAGCTGCATGAAGAATTTCTGTTTATTCCTGAAGAGCTCTTGTTGTATATATGGATAAGATCTTGTAAATACAGAGTGCAACCTGAGGGCACCTCTTTCTGTATTAAAGGTTACTTCAGAAACAATTCTGCCTCCAGGCTATGGAACTAGAGAACAAAACCAATCAATTCCATGTTAAATGAAGGAGGCCCTGTGGTACGTGGCAGTGCCTTAATGGTACCCTCACCAAGGTCTAAGACTACACCTGCTCACAGCAAATGAGTTTTCCTGTCTCCTAATATGCAATTATATTGACTATTTTATATCACGTAATATTATATTGCAAATCACATTTCACATAGTAAAATGCACAGACATCCACATTATGGATGGATGCTTATAGTGGGAGAAACAAGGATGGAAGCCCTTGCGCGGTTCACAGTGACTGTAACTATAAACATAACAACTGGATATTTTGAGTTGCATTGTAATCAACAGGATTTTCCCCCTAAGGTTTTGGATCATAGTGTTACGTCTAGTATGTATCCTGTCCATTTTATATATCTACGCATACATATTCTGTTCATTCTATCATAAACTGTATTGCATTTTAAAAAATGGCCTTTCTCTAAGGCCTTCTGGGATACATAAAAAGTACTTAGGTCAGGTTCCATCCATGTGAAAAGTATAAAAAGTAATTTAAACCACTGTACAATCCTTTCCAAAGTAAGTTCAGAACAACTCTTCATAGGACTACACTAAAAGATACAGAACTGGGTGTACAGCCCATATAAAACCACAAATGGCAAAGAACTACAAAGGGTGGCAGAGTACAACCATGAAGTGAAGTAGCCCAACAGCCCAACCTGTGGGCAGCATACCCAAGTGGCACCAGATGCATGTAAAAACCCTTACACTCACTAGTATTTATTGTGTCTTCATCTTAAGTGCAGTGGTTTAGAAGCTCATATCTTTGGGCAGAGATTGGCTGCACAGGTGTTCAACAGCATTTCTGAAGGGTCTAGGAGCATTCCAAAACAGCCTACTGCCTTTGTTTCCCTTGTATATGTGAAATTCAAAATTAGATGACTCATGCATACACAACTACAACTGATTTCTTTACACTAACTTCTTTACACATAAGGATTGGCAACTGAATGTTTGAAATGACTGTACTGAAAAGCATTGCATTTGAGGTCTTTGGTGATGTCCCATTCACAGTCATCATGCGATACAGCCATTATCAAATGATAGATGTTCAGATGAGTGTGGCCCTGGATCTGCTACTTCTACACCGCTAAACATAACAGGTTAAATCCCTCTATCATCAGTCACAAATGATCTTTGCTTGGAAGCTTACACTTAACACTTTGGCTTTTTAGCCACTTCCTGTAGTAGCGCCAAATAATAAAGACCCATGAATTGTGCATTAAGTGTACTCAGGCAGGTCAATGGTCTCTCAGGATACTGAGAATTGTACTCTTCAAGCCTATGCAGGTTTACTCAGAAGTAAGTCCCACTGTGTTCCGTTAGATATAATCCCAAGTAAGTGTGCAAAGGATTTCAGTTTTAAGCTTGAGCGAAGAAATGAAAGCACCTCCTCAGACTCTTTACAGAAAGACTGTAGTAAATCTCTTGCGTTAAAATGGGCACTCGAATTTTATGAAAATGCTGTTGATCTTAAATTATTCAGCTGTTTTAATGATCACGCATCAGGAAAAATGTAAATGAATGCTAATTTAGCAAAGTTACATTTCTGTCATTTAAAAACCATTTATAGCCAAGATGATTTAAAGCTAATCTTTATATTTGCTGCTTGGGTACAAGCATGAAGGACATTCACCAACTGCAATTTAATCTTAAATCCCACCAGAACATTACTTCAGTTATCTTTTGCCATTACTCCTCATTTTGGATAAACCTTGCACATGCATCTTTTTAAGCACCATGTTTTAACATTATTAGGCTTCTGGTCTGGGCAGGATGAGACCCAATACGTTAGTGCTTGGATTTAAAAAGGATTGGAGAGATTCCACTGCTATACAAGTTGAAAACTACATGGGAATCATACAGTAAGTTGAAGCTGGAAGTATATTAATTTTGGAAGAACTGAAATTTTATGGAAGATCTAAATAGTTCTAGATAAATAAACAGAACATACACAAAAGGACTATTAAAATCTGGAGTTCAAGTTTCAAGCAGTACAAGAGGTTAAGAAAAACAGAGGGCAAAATCATAGTCTCTCATCTTTGTATACAGGGAACAGAATGGCCATAAAGGTTGGGAAGAGAGCACCATGGCATCTCTAGTGTATTTTATTGTCTACATATAATGGATTAACAGTCATGGCTCTCAGAATTGTAATTCTACAAGGAGCTCGAGCTCCAACAAAGAATTCCTGGCAAGCACACAAAATTACAATTTCTAGAGTCCTTTGAGGAAATGCATTCCCACTAAACTGGTTTCAAACCCATTTAAACTTGCAGTCTTGATATTCCCTTTGAATATGGTATGTTCATAAAAGAGCAATACCATTGAGGACAAAAATAACTTCAGGATATACACGTGAACTGCAGAAAAATTGCTCATAAACCCAAAACAGCCTAAACAAGCTGCTTCTGAGTAGAAGAAGGGCAAGGAGAAAGAGGCGCTTAACTCTTTTTCCTCCTGTGATTTTTTCAGCTCATCTTCCCAAAACTGCCTTTTCACCAGCTGTGGGAAAGGTAGGGACAAGATAAGGAACTCTTTCCTTCTATGGGTGAAAAGATAACTTGAAGAAAGTAACAGCTGGGAAAAAAGGAAGGTGAAATACCTTCTTCTCTATGCTTTCATACTCTACTTGGATACAAGCTACCTCATACTAAAAGGAAAAAACCAGGGAAAAGAATAATGGAATTCCTCATAATATATAGTCTTATGGGGGTGGGGGTTACAGCAGGTCAAAAATGGAAGTAGTTAAGTTGCAGAGGAGTATTATGAGGAGATGGCAAGTGCAACCATACAGTCCAGGGATATGAAAGGTGAGGAAGCAAAGCTGCCTCGTTTTGATTGTTCAAGATGCTGTTCAAAATGAACTTTTTAATATTAGAAATCTAATTGTACCCCATAACTGTTCATAAAAATATCTGTGTAACCATGCAAGTATTGAAACATGCAATTTTAAACTATTCCAGTGTTGCGTGTGGTAGTGTTTTATTGTTTCATTCTTGATTTTCAGTGATGCATTTGACTTTGAATTTGGTGTGATTATTGTTCGAATAAGTCAAGGCTTTGACATATCACAGGCTCTTCAAGTTCAAGGTACGTAAAAAGTCACTGAATTTCAGTCCTACACTAGAAGTGTTTTCTGTACACTATTTCCATTAAATTTCCACCAGTTTCCAAAAACATCAGCCTTAGGAAATGTTGTTCCATGCATTTAAGACATGACCATTAATATTGTAAATTATCTTCTCTGGAGATTGGGAGCACTTACGCTATCTATAATTAGTGGAACGTTTTTGTAATGGTAAGAAAAGAAATTGAAGGGCACTGCCAAATGGAAATCTAGACACTATACATTTGGGAGGAAAAAGTCATTAGCGAGATTGAAGGCCATTAAAAGAGCTATGGTATTCCAGTGGATGACCAAAAAGAGTTTCAAGAGCTGACATACCAATCTTGAAAATGCTCGATAGGATCCAAACACATAGGAACTTTCTGTCCATAAAGAAAACATGCTCTTCATATGCATGGGAATTTGTTGCAAGTGCAAAAGACTTTCCCACTTAAAACTTATATCAAACATGCATTGTAAAATGCAGGAAGGGTGAAAAGCAGGAAGGCTGAAAAAAAAGGTAAAGGTAAAGGTTCCCTTGCTTGAAAGCCAGTCGAGTCCGACTCTAGGGTTGCCGTGCTCATCTCCGTTTCAAAGCCGAAGAGCCAGCGCTGTCCGAAGACGTTTCCATGGTCATGTGGCCGGCATGACTAAACACCAAGGTGCACGGAACGCTGTTACCTTCCCACCGAAGTGGCACCTATTTATCTACTTGCAATTTCTTGCTTTCGAACTGCTAGGTTGGCAGGAGCTGGAACTAGAGATGGGAGCTCACTCCATCATGCGGCAACTCGGGTCTTGAACTGCTGAACTACTGACCTTCCACAGCCTGCAGTTCAGCGTCTTAACCACTTGAGCCACCGCAGCTCCTAGGAAGGCTGAAATATTATTGTAAATGCATAAATTGCATTTAAAGCACATACTTTTCTCTGTTTCACACATATACACAAGCAACAGCCCTGGCATGGATAACCCAGGCTAACCCTATCTCATCAGACCTCACAAACTAAGCAAGGTTGGCCCTGGTTAGTATTTGGATGGGATACAACCAAGAAAGTCCAGGGTTACTCTACAGAGGCAAGCAATGGCAAACCATCTCTAAACATCTCTTGCCTTGAAAACCCCATGGGGTCGCCATAAATCAGCTGTGACTTGAGGGCTAAACCTCCCCCCAGTCAAAGTGATAAGTGGCACGTACAAACGCACAATACACCTTTCTATCAAGTAAGACCTTTGGTCCATCTAGCTCTGCCTAACAGTGGATTGTTACGGTCTCGGATACGGATGCCAATCTTCAGGCACAACCTGGGGATCCCCCAGAATTACACCTCATCTCCGGACTACAGAGATCAGTTCCCCTGGAGAAAATGGATGCTTTGGAGGGTGGACTCTATGGCATTGTACCCCACTGAGGCCCCTCCCCTCCACAGGCTCCATCCCTAAATCTCCAGGAGTTTGGCAACTCTACTCCCCCCACCCCCACTGCTGGTGGCCAAGGGGGATCTGGCAACCCTAGGCTTGGGCCAAGAAAAATCTTTCCAGACGCCAGCTATCCATGATTTTTTGACTGACGATGGCAGGGATGGAAGCAAAGCTTGTGCTCAGCTAGCCCCCACCCCCCACGAGAGTATGTATTTAAGAACAGAGCAGAAACCCCTATGCTTTAGGAGCTTCTCATAACAGAACTGCTGGGCAGAGGCCATAAAATGGAATTCCTGTTGATGTTGCTAACCACGAGAGTATGTATTTAAGAACAGAGCAGAAACCCCTATGCTTTAGGAGCTTCTCATAACAGAACTGCTGGGCAGAGGCCATAAAATGGAATTCCTGTTGATGTTACTGGTTTTTTTTGAGCCCCCGGAGGGGATTTTTAATTATTTTTTTATCAAACTACAAAACTACTACAGAAAACAGGAAAGGGGGGACTACATCTACATATATAGGATAAAGCAAAAAAACCCACTACTAACTAAAAACCCAAGAGAGGAGATCCTCACTAGCTTAGTTACAACAAATCTTCATTTCATTTAGATTATTATAAACTGAGTCACCATTCACAGTTCTCAAAGGCACAATTCAGAGTCTTTCAGCCTTTACTTCTCTTTTCCTCGTCTCTTCCGCAGCTTATAAGGACTTTTTGGGGCAGCTGCCCCTTGCTCTGTCAGAGAGTCCTCTCTGGAAGAACCCGAGTCCAGCTCGCCACTAGACTTGCTGTCCTCTTCTTTTTTCCCATCCTCTGGTCTTCCCAGCTGAACCCTTAGGAATTCTTGAGCTTTCAGAACAGAATCAATCTTTTCTTTTTTATCCTTGATCTTGAAAGTGACACATTCTGGAAATAGCCATTTATATCCAATTGAGTTTGTCTGAAGAAAAAGCACAAGCTCTTTGTACTTCTTTCTCCATTGTCTTACTTCAAATGGAATATCCTTTAGCATTCTGATGGTATTTCCCCC